TAGATCCCTCGTCTTACAATGGTCTGTTGCTGTTGCCTCTTGTGGGACCCTTTGCTGTCTTACTCCATTCTGGAATGTTCTGTGAGGCTGCTTCCTTGMGTGACTGATTGCCCAGAACTTTCAACCTTTGCATCTGTAGCTTCTCCAAGTTCAGGATGTAAACAGGAGGGTCTTGAGCCTCTGAGTTACCCAGGAAGGATTCTGGGCCTAAATAGGTGGTTAACTTATCAATGCATTAAAAATTTTGATTTTGATTCATAATGTCACAATGTCATATTTATGAAACCAGAATGTCATCCAGGAGCCATCCTGCTTGGAACTAGAACTAGAACCTCAGAACCTGTCTGGGATGTAAAGTCAAAGCGTATAAAGACAGAACAGCCTATCTGCAGCCCAGAGAAGGCTCTTGGAACTCAACAAGAAAATTATGACTGTGACCAAGCAGGTAAGGCTGATGATGTTCTGGCACTTACATGGTGACCAATGGAGGGCACTGTACTATAGTCAGGAGCAGGGGCCGAGTCACACCATCAGCGTAAACCCCAAATGACAGCAGGAGAATGGACCAGTGTCCGGTGTAAGGAGCCAATGACATAACAAAAAATAATACCTTACAATTCCTGAGGGGAGGACAGAAAAAATCCCAGAGACAGAGGAAATAGGATTGGAGACTGGAATAGAGCATGGGAGAGTTTGGAGGAAGGAAGTTGGCATCGGAGCACAGAGCGTAAGGAGCGAGCTGGGACCGTCTCTGGAGGTGAGGGAGAAGGGAAATGGGATGGCAGGAGAAGTCAGGGCGAGAGAAGCTGGTGGAGCCCAGGAAGCGAGAGGCTTTCCTTTGGTAGAAACCGCAATGTCTGGATCCTGGTTCCTGGTGGCAAATTGAAAAGGAGAGAGAGAGAGAGAGAATGAATCTAACAAGGTGGAACGCAGCAGCTCAGAGCAGGATTTGGCCGGAGCCTGGCTGGGCTCCTTGGCGAGGAGTACGTCCTCTGTGGTGTCCAAGTGTCCAACCTCAGAGCTCCGGAGGGTCGCACCGTGGTTATTTCTCAGCCATGGTGCTGGTCACTCCTTTCCTTTGCTCTCTTCAGTTGCTGGTGAATTCAGTGCTCTCCCAATGAAGAGAGAGGAAGGGTCGGAAGAGAAGCCCAGCCCCCTGCAACGAGGCGGACAAGGTAACTGGGCCTGAATCCCTCATTTTAAACAAMCTGTGACCTGATTAGATCACCGTGTGGAGGAAGAAGAGTCTTTCACCCCAACTCCCTGCACCCCCCTTGGCTGAGCCCCACTGCTGCTGCCCCTAGATGCAGCCAAGCAGCYACACTTGTCGTGGGACAAGGCATGGTGAGGGCCGGGCATCACTGCTGCTGCCTCTGCAGCCTCCATACTTGGTAGGGCTGTCATTGTTGCAGTGACAGCCACCCTGGTTCTTTGGCTGCTGAGGCAACGCTGCTTTAAATGGAGCTGCTCACTGGGTTGCCCTCAAGACATTTGCTGGGGATTTTCCACCACCTCCTGCAGTGGTGGTGGTTAGCACCTCCCCCACCTCATGAAGCTGACTGTAGAGGACTMGGCACCCGTGTGCAAACCCCAGAGCTGAGAGCTCAGAGTGGCACGATGGTGCAGAAATTCTGCATTTAGCAGCTAACTGTGCGCCTGCGGGAGCCCTCACTCTGCCTTCTATCTGGATCTGTTTTCTTGGCTTCTTTCCTAATTTGGCAGTCTCCTGCCTACATGACACTTCCTTCAGAAGCCTCTTCCTGGTTCTCACCCAGGACTGCAGGTTTGCAGAGTGCTTCTCGCTTCCTATGAGGCAGCACTCACGGTGCCAAAGTGGTGAGCATGTGCCWTCTGTGGTGGACTGTGTGATCACGAGGCAGGGACCACATCTGACCTCTTCCTACCGTGTCCTCTGAACCTAGCACGGGATCTGGCACATAATAAAACCTCCATTACTATTTATCAGGAAATGAAAGTATTCACATTTCAGTACCCTGAAAATTGGACACATATTTTGGTAAACATGATACTATTGATGTATTCGTATTGAAAGCTTTACAAAAGCAGTTTTAAGGATTGTATTTATACTTAGAGTTGTCCCTCAGTATCAGTTGTTCCTCCTCATGGATATCAAAATCAGGGACGCTTGAGTCCCTTATATAAAATATCATAGTATTTGCCTATACAAATGCTCCGGTATACTTTAAATCATCTCCAGACAACTCATAATACCTAATACACTATAAATGCAATGTAGTTGGTTTACTCTATTGTCTAGGAGATAATGATGAGAAAAATAAGCTTATACATGTTGAGTATAGATGTAATATATTTTCCCAAGTATTTTTGACCTGTGTTTGATTGAATCTGAGGATGCAGAACCCCAAAATTGGAGGGTCCACAGTGTATGTAACAAGCCACCTTTGTGAAAATTATCATAAGAATTAAGAACTTAAGATCTTTTTWAAATTATTTGTTCTTTTTAGTTATATATGACAGTAGAACATTTTGACATATTAAACTTACATGGAGTATAACTTCCCATTCTGTGGTTGTACATGATGTGGAGTTACACTGGTTGTGTATTCAATATGAACATAGAAGAGTCATGTCTGATTCATTCCACTGTCTTTCCTATTCCCCTGCCCTTCCCCTCTTCCCCCCATTTATTGTTACTTGTATTCTTGATGATTGCCATTCTGACTGGAGTGAGATGAGATCTCAGTGTAGTATTGATTTGCATTTCTCTAATTGCTAGAGATGTTGAACATTTTTTCATATATTTGTTGATTGATCTTATTTCTTCTTCTGTGAAGTGTCTGTTGAGTTCCTTTGCCCATTTGTTAAGATCTTAATCAAGTTGAGAATTAAGTTATATTAAAACATCAAGTTTGGCCAAGATAATTATCAGTAAGTAAATGAGTGTAGCAGGTAAAGGTGAAAGAGGGGAAAAAAAAAAACCATGCAGAGTTCAGGGTGAAAAGGGAAGCACTTGAGAAGGTGGGACAGAAAGCAAGGTGCAGATGGAGTGGAGATGAGGCCAGGAGGTGAAGTCGGCAGTAGAGTCGTCCCCTGGCGTCAAGTGCAGGGAGAGGGCAGGATACCACTCGGCTTTGCATTCATACATTGCATTTATAGTGTATTAGGTATTATGAGTTGTCTGGAGATAAGCAGCTTTTTAAGGGGGACAGATACAAATTCTTTAAGAATCACTCTTTGTTGTAGGGGCAAGGCGACGCAGATACGAGGATCTGGTGCCCACTTCCCTTGTGAGTCCGGAGGACCAGCAGAAGGCAAGGACCGTGCAGAGCCAAGTGGATGAAATCATAGGTAAGACTGACAGGTCACCTGGGACCCTGTGAGTGACCCCAAAGGTGACCGCCTGGGCATGTCGTTGGAGGCCAATCAGTGGCCTGGGGAGCAGAGGATGAATGCAGAGAGACCTGGACTCTGGCGCTCAGTCCAGAGAACTTTGACTCAACAAGGCAAGTTTGTGGGGAATGAGAATGTACCCAGAGACCTGCGAGGGGGTGAGGAATAGCTAAGAGGATATATATCGGCAAGGATGCCAGGTGTGTGCGGGGTAGAGGTGTGAGGATAAAGAAGGGCAGAAACAGGAGGCACCCGACAGGGGAACACAGAGGTGGAGAAGACAAGGGAGTGGGAGCTGGCAGAGGCCAGGAAGTGGGTAGAGACAGCTGGAAAGGAAGAGGAGAGTGAGGGAGAGGGAAATGGAGATCAAGACAATCAAGGCTGGCCAGTGGCCATCTTGGCGTGCCATGGCAGAAACCAGAAAGATCAGCTGGAGCCGAGCCATTCCTGCCTCACAGTCACCCAAGCTTCTGAGACTTCTCCAGTGTCCCTGTGTCATGGGTGTCCAGCTGCGCTGGCTTCTGAGTCACACTGTCATCCCTCACAGACTCTGTTTCTCTGCAGTTATCAGCAGCGAGGACTCGAAATCCAGTGACGAGGAAGAGCCCCAGGTGTCTCCCGCTCAGCACCAAGGTGCAGGATTCAGGCYGGTGAGGAGGGTGCGGACCTCTGCCCCGGACTCCAGGATCTCAGAGCTCCTGCTTGTTGGTGCACATGGCTCGGAGGGCACTACCAGCCAGGGCCCTGCTAACCCTGGGCGCCCATTCTTCACCCTTGCCTCGGCTGGCCCTTTGGGAAACGTGGGAAGGCAGGGCGGTACTCCCTGACTGCACGTCTGAATGTCCGCATAGAGACAGGATGTATGTTTCTGTTTTACACCTTTTTCTTTCTCATGGTCGTACATATGATAGGATAACGAAAATCACATAATTTGTCTTTGTCTCCAGTTCTTGATCCAGAGTGGTAAGACCTCTGGAATTTCTAGTGAGAAGAGCATCTTTTAAAAACCAAGCATAGGATTACAGGGTTAGATCTTTCAGCCCCACTTCTCAACCTCTGGAGAGAAGAGAGGAATGGAAGATTGAGTGCATCAACAATGGCCGATAATAAAATGTCAGGTCTGCACAATGACAGCTCAGAAAAGCCCCTGAACAATGGGGCTCAGGGGCTACCTAGTTGGTGAAGTCACCGATGTGCTGGGAGCTGAAGAGAGCATGCACCTCTCCTTCCCCTGCCCACCCGCCCCCACTGTCTGCCACACACATACCTTGCTCTACCATTTGGCTGTTTCAGAGTTGTATTCTTTATAATAAAACCACAATCACCTAAAACTCTTTTTTGARTTAATGTGAGTCACTCTGGTTCTCTAACCTGAAAAGGAGAGGGTCCTGGGAACTCCCAAATATGTAGGCTGCTAGACAAAAATGTGGGTGACCCGATCCCAGGGCTTCTTATACTAGACTCCTTCCAGCCATGGGCCTCTGTTGTCACTGATAACAACCRGGTCATGATTCTGAGTCACATCTTGTCTTTTCCATTCATACTTTATTTTTATTTGTTTTTGTTAGGAATGTGAGAATTTTTGTTTATTTATTTATTCTAATTAGGCATATACAACAGCAGAATGCATTTTGGTTCRTTGTATACAATTRCAGCTCAACTTTTCATTTCTCTGGTTGTACATGATGATGGCATCACACTATACGTGCAGTCACACATGTACCTAGGGTAATGATGACCATCTCATTCCACCAWCTTTCCTGCCCCCATATGCCCTCCCCATCCCTCCCTCTCCTTTGCCCAATCACAGTTCCTTCATTTTTCCCACGCCAGCCACCGCCCCCCCCCACCTCCCATTATGGATCAGCATCCACATATCAGAGAGAACATTTGGCCTTTGGGTTTTGGGGATTGACTTACTTCACTTAGCATGATATTTTCCACCTCCATCCATTTACCTGCAAATGCCATAATTATATTCTCTTTTAATGCTGAGTAATATTCCATTATGTATATATACCACAATTTATTTATCCATTCATCCATTGAAGGGCGTCTAGGTTGGTTCCACAGTTTAGCTATTGTGAATGAACTGTTATAAACATTGATGTGACTGCATTACTATAATATGCTGATTTTAAGTCCTTTGTGTATAGACTAAGGAGTGGGATAGCTGGGTCRTATGGTGGTTCCATTCCAAGTTTCTAAGGAATCTCCATACTGCTTCCCAGATTGTCTGCACCAATTTGCAGTCCCACCAGCAATGTATTGAGTATGCATTTTCCCCACATTTTCTCCAACACTTATTTTGTTGTTTGTATTCTTGATAACTGTCATTCTGACTGGTGTGAGATGAAATCTTACAGTAGTTTTGATTTGCATTTCTCTAATTGCTAGAGATGTTGAATATACAGATTCAATGTGATTCCAATTAAAATCCCAATGTCATTCCTTATAGAAATAGAAAAAGCAATCATGAAATTTATTTGGAAAAATAAGAGATCCAGAATAGCCAAAGCAATCCTTAGCAAGAAGAGTGAAGCAGGAGGCATCACAATACTAGATCTTAAACTATAATACAAAGCTATAGTAACAAAAATGACATGGTTTTGGCACCAAAATAGACAYGTAGACCAATGACACAGAATAGAAGACACAGAGACAAACCAACATAAATACAATTATCTCAYACTAGACAAAGGGGCCAAAAACATACATTGGAGAAAAGATAGCCTCTTCAACAAATGTTGCTGGGAAAACTGAAAAGTCGTATGTAGTAAAATGAAACTAAAACCCTGTCTCTCACCATGCACAAAACTCAACTCAAAGTGGATCAAGGACCTAGGAATTAGACCAGAAACCCTGCGCCTAATAGAGGAAAAAGTAGGCCCAAATATTCATCATGTTGGATTAGGCTCTGACCTCCTTAAGAAGATTCCTAAAGTGAAAGAAATAAAATCAAGAATCAGCAAACGGGATGGATTCAAACTAAAAAGCTTCTTCTCAGCAAAAGGAACAATCAATGAGCTGAAGAGAGAGCCTACATTTTGGGAGCAAATTTTTGCCATATGCATGTCAGATAGACCCCTAATCTCCAGGATATATTAAGAACTCAAAAAAAAAAACTTAACACCAAAAAAAAGAACAACCCAATCAATAAATCAGCCAAGGAGCTGAACAGACACTTCTCAGAAGAAGATATACAATCAATCAACAAATATATGCAAAAATGTTCAACATACTTTATTTTTGATCAGGAAGCGTGATCAGGAAGAGTGAGCCAGAGGTAGAGAATCTCACCTCTTTGTGGCTGGTGTCTGAACTGGGGGCTGTCTTGTGAGACTGAACTTTAAACTTGTGGGGCCCATGCTAACCCGGGGTAGTTAACCTCAGAATTGAATCAAGTTGTTGGGAGCTCAGTTTGGGTCAGAAAATTGGAGAATTGACTGGTATTGGAATGATGTWTCTGTTATTGAAAAGGACATCACTCATTTGGTGCCAGAAAGAAATCACATACCTGTTCATACTGATACCAACTGCAAATAATAAAAAATTAAGTGACTCTTGTGATTTGTTTTCAATGCCACAAACATCAACAGATATACCCCCCTGTTATTTAACCTCTTCCCTTGAAGTCCCTGTTTGAAAGGCTCTTCATATGCTCTCAAAATGTGAAAGTCAGAGTCCTGCTGAATGATTCGCTATTGTCACACATGAGCTCCATCTTCCCAGCCTGTGATGTGCTTCCTGCCCGGCTGTTATCTACCTGTGAAGCCACTGCTACATATCTCAGGTTTCTGTGTGGCATACTCTCCCAGCACATTGTTTTTTAGTAAATCATAGGATAACKCCTGTAAGAAATAGGCTCCCAAATGTTTATTGGCTCAAACAGTAAAGGTTCTATTCTTGCTCACACAATCAGCRTAAGGTAGTGTTGCCCTTTAAAGAAAAGGCGGGCAACAAAATACCATGTCTCTGAATGTCCATTTCCGTTCCCCCAAACCTAGTCAAGTTAAGGGAAGAATGAGAGCAWTTCTGGTGAGAATGTCCAATAACAGTGTTTGCTTTCTCTCACGTTTGCTGGGAATTCTGAAGCTGATTTTATGCACATATGTCAGAACCGTTGCTYCTTGGGAGGCTGCTCAGACCAGGAACAGCACCCTAAGGCTGATGATCCACTGCCTCTGTAGCCGTCCCCTTTCCTGTGGTGACTGGTGAGGAGCAGAGCCTGGTGGAGAGGGGAGTGCCCTTCCAGGCGGCTGCCTGTGGACAAGGCATGGGGGTGAAACKGGGCATTACTTTCTGGTGAGGTGCTGGAGGCACTGCATGTAGCAGAGGTCCACCCGTCTAGCCGGTTGCCATGGAACCTTCTGGCAAAACACTTGTCCAGTYCATCACCACTGGACTTTCTGCCAAAATACCTGTCTGGCCCATAACCACGAACCTCCCTGTAAGCATTTCTCATCAACCCTACATCTCATATCCCATCTCCAGGCTCTTCCTTGGTCTCTTGGCAACCAATTGCACTCCCCTAGCACAACTGGGCATAGACAGTACAAAGGTGGTTCTTGGTGTTGGGGGGTTTTGCTCCACTTAGCTATTTAGGGACTCTGGCTGACAGAGGTTCCAACATCTTCAACACATGGCTTCCAACATCTTCATGGGAGGAAGAGGCAGTGACATGTCAAACATATGGTGGCAAGTGGTCCAGCAAAAGGGAAGAGCAGGGTGTGAGAAGAGGGAGTGGGGTTCAGCGGAGATACTCCATGTGGGGGAGATGTGTTACTTTTCAGTACTAGGGACTTAAACAACATTAGGCCCAAATTAATTCAAAGGCAGGCCAAGATGACCCTGTGAGTTCCCAAGTCAGTTTTTTTAAAAATATTTTTTTAGTTGTAGATGGACACAATACCTTTATTTATTTTTATGTGGTGCTGAGGATCGAACCCAGTGCCTCACTCGTGCTAGGCAAGTAAGTGCTCTACCACTGAACCACAATCCCAGCCCCCAAGTTAGTTTTTAGGTTTTTTTTTTTTTTTGAGGATACCTTCTGGGTACTCCATTATCACACTCTGAGACTAGTCTGAGACTATGAGGGCTTTCACCCCTTGTGCAATGGTTAGAAGAGATGACCCTGTGGATTCTGTTACAAAAGAAGAACCCAGGTACCTTTAACCTATAGCCAATAATTAAAAAGGTAAACCATCTGTTGGAAATTGTCCATTTGTATCCATAGATAATATTCTTGAAGTGGATTTACATTAGCCAGGAATTCCATTTTTCCTGTTTTCATTACTTAAAATGCAAGAAGGCGAGAATTCTGAATTGATCATTCASAATAAATTCACATTGGCCTTATGAACTGCATACATGTGGTAATCTTCTGGAGAAAAGCATATTGGAGGCAAAGCATATCTTTATGCCTGCAAATACTAGAACATTGAAATTGCCTTCCATGTTCTATAGACCATGRAAAACTGGATTCTTCTATTAATCCATTATGTCCCATTGTTCTATATAGGATTGAAAACCTGTGACTTAATGGGTTAATGGAAAACTTGAAGGAAACTTTCTAGGTAAGAGGTTCTGCTCTTTAGTTACTGCTAAAAAGATAATCTTTTAGTTCACCCACTGGAACCCCAGATTATACTATTGACAAGGATTCTCCAGCATGAGATTGGCTTAGTATAGATTTTCCAAATCACTTTTGTAAAATCCAATAACTTAAAGAGGTTGGCAGGGGAACTGGTATTACAGATGTGAAAACTGAAGCTTGTAAATATTTAAAGGATTTTGACAAACCAACATGGAAAATTCGAGGTAGAGCCAGGACTTTGATCATTCAGAATTCATTCCATCATTGTCTGCTTTGAGCTTTTTTTTTTTTTTCCATAAGAAAAGTGGAGATAAAGCATCATTATGATGTCAATTCTGTCTGCCATGTGAGTTGTTGCCCAATTTCCTACTCTTTTCARGTTCCTGTTTTTAACCTTCCCTGGTTCATTTTCTAGATCCCATGAAGAAGGCGACAAAGTAGAAAACAAACTCACTTTGGAAAATGCAATTATGAAATACCCAACAGCAAATAAGAACTTGTAGTGTTACCATGAACATTTCTTTTCCTAGAGAAAACAGATTCAAATTTTTATATGTTTTCCAATTAGAAATACTTTTGTTTTGGCTTTAGATGGTCACACRATACACTCTGTAATGGTTAGGGTAGGCCGTCTACCCTGGTCAAGGAATATACAGTGTGCCACGACTCAGGATCTGTGGATGTGGATTTTCTCCACCCAAGAGGGGCCAGGATGGCAGCACAGCTCTCCTCCTTGTCCCTCGGGGCCCAGTTTGATGAAGGGAGGTATTGCTGTTTTTGACTTACTGCATCATGACCACCCTGGGTGGACATCCCTCCTCCCAGGGGACAGAGCATGGCAGACCTATGGGCCAGGCTTTGGCATTGCCTATCCCACTTTTGATCACGTACCTTCACTGGATCCCCGTGGTGGGGGCTAATGAGGAGTGCGGGGCTGATCTTTGGGGAATGTGGGTTAGCTGTGTGCTCAGGAAGAGGAGGAGAACTTGGATTTTGGCATTTAGAGAGAGTTCTCTGCAATGCCTTTTAAAGAGCYTATATATGTTTTTTTTTTCTTTTTTATGACAACACATCTTGATGTAAAAACAAATGATGATATCTTACACATTCTATTTTCTTCAGAAAATCTAGAGTAAAGGATCACTTCATAATCCCATAATATTCAATATTGCAGATGAAAAAAATAGAACTATTTAGAAAACTGCTGAAATTATCACATGAAATTGACTAATACCTGATTGCAAAATTCAGGATTTCTCAGAGGTTAATACGAAGTCAAAAGTGATGGATACAATGCGAATGGTTTGTGCTTGTCCCAGGCTGTTGATAAAACCTCAGCCTGTCCTCTTCACTGCTTACATCTRTGGTTTTCAGAGCCAATAAGCTTTTCCCTGCTCCTAGGCCAGCATCATAACAGCCCATCCAGATGATTAAATATAGAGCAGACCTATGCAAAATGTCATACTGATCTGATAGTGATACTTCTATACCATATGTGGGGAGCCATTCTGACACGTGACTGGGTGGCTCCCGTTAAGGGCCTGAGGCGCTCTGGCTGTGCCAGAACTTTCCGGGCCCTTTCCTGATGAGAGAACCCATCCGTGTGGGGGTGTGACTGACCACTGACCCCGGGGGCCCAATCGCTGACCCTGACCTTGGAGTGCAGCCCCCCTCAACCTTCATTGGATGGAATTCTCCCCTGAATCTCTTGTTCCCCAATAAAAGGCTACTCCCTGGCGTACCCACTCTCTCTCTCTCCTGCTGGCCCTGAGTAATCCTTGCTGCCCTGCCGGGCAGTTAGAGGAGGGATTCAGCAAGGGGAGCCATCTTGGACCTGGCAATAGAAATAAGGTAACTGAGTCTGTGTGTTTTATTTCAATCTCTTCTAGCTAACTTTTATGCCAAGAACCTCATTAATGAAACCATTGCGCAGGCCGCATGGTGGAACCATACTTGGAAACTTCCATAATAAATCCTTCCTCCAGAGGAACAAAAAGCAACTTTCATCTTGCTGTTATTTAGAATTATTCTCTCTTACTTGAATTAGCATTTTATGTACAGAATTTTCTCTCTCTCTCTTTTTTTCTTTTGCATGGGGGATTGGTTACTGGGGATTGAACCCAGTGGTGCTTACCCACTGAATCACAACCTCAGCTCTTTTAATTTTTTATTTTGAGACAAGTTCTTGCTAAGTTGCTCAGGACCTTACTAAATTGCTGAGGCTGGCCTTGAATTTATGATCCTCTTGCCTCAGCCTCCCCAGCTGCTGGGGTTACAGGTGTGCATCACTATACCTGGCTACACAYAGAATTCTTACTATATGTAGTTATGATAACTTCATGTGTTTCTGGAATGATTTAAAAAATATACATCCCTAAACTCACTTAATCTTCAAAATTACATTCTCCAGTGATGAAATTTCATTATTCAAACGGTGAAATGGTGCACTGGGGACTTAATTTTGACACTGAGGATGGGGTTCTTCCCTGAAGGCTGTAGTGAATGCTCTGAACCACTAATACTAATACGTGGTACTCTGTCCGTAGCCAGAAGACAGTGGATCTGGGAAGCCAGTAGGCAAGGCTGACAGATTTGTCTGGTAAAGAAACATGGAGCCATTTAGGATTCAGTTTATTACTTGCAAAAACAGCAAAATTAAGAAAAGCAAAGGTGCCAGCTCCCCATGTCCTTATCCCTTCCGGGGACATGGGGTAGCAGTAAAATGAAAGGAGCTGGCTGGGTATGGTGCACGTGGTGATGGCCACGTTGATGCTGAGCCGTTTACAGCCTGCAGCTCCATGCTCGTGGGGGCGAAGCGGGAACTCTCCAGCCTCTCAGAACAGAAGGGCAGCTGTCTGCAGGAGACCAGCAGGGAGTGAAGAGCGGCTTGGAGCAGCTCCCCTCCGGCAGGCTGTCTTGTTACGGAAGGACCACAAGGAGTTCTGGAAAGACTTACATCCAGTCAGGGGCTGTTGATGCATAAATGCACCTGTGGTCTTCATGAGGTGGGTAGGAGGCCAGAATATGTCACCTGCAAAGAGGCCTCTTTGGCATAAGGACCTTTTTGAGCTGACTGTTTTGAGAAATAGAGAAGTCCCACAAACAGAATGGTCCCTTGTAAAGGAAATTTGCATCTTTAAGGAGATCTCCACTGCTACCACAGCTTCCCTTGCTACACCAGAGATGGACGGCTCTAGATCATGACAGACTCATCAATGAGGAAGACATCGAAAGTCTAACAAATCCCACTGTTGTTTTCCACACTTTTCCCAAACACACCCACCCTCACTCTGTTTTTGCCTGGAGATGGGGTTTTATTGCCTCTGGGCAAGATGCTCATTTCCTTGGGATTCTCCCATGTGGAAATGTCAAGTCTGCATGATGCTATTTATCGTTATATTTAGAGTATACTCCTTCTGCTAGTATAAAAAAAACAAATTCACTATAAGACAGTGTGCAGAGGCAGGGCATGGTGACGTATACCTATGATCYCAGCTATCTGAGAGGCCAAGGCAGGAGGATCCCAAGTTTGAGGGCAACTTCAGCAACTTAGCAGGATCCTGGGTCAAAATAAAAAACTAAAAAGGGCTGGGGATGGAGCTAGAATACTTCTCTAGTATGTGTGAGGCCCTTGGTTCAATGGCTTGTGCTGCAAAAAGAAAATAAATAAACAAACAAATAAATAAAAAGTGCCAGCAATAGCCTCATGTCCCACATTTATGGTCTCWCTTGACTGCACCAAAAGGCTAGGTCATGTGATCAACCCACACCATCTGGCTTTGCATAAGTACAAAGATGTTCCCACAGAGACAAAATTGCCTAATGATGCAGTTCTCAGAATGTATCCTGCTATTAAATGACACCTGACTGTATATACATGCTAATAAGCTGTTTTTCTTTTCTCTTGTTAACCTGTTCATTGTGACAGGCGACCCAGATAAGTACTTCGAAGGGTAGAGGGAAATTACTTTTTCCTTGTCTGTGTGCAAGCGTCTAAGAGCCAGTCCCCAAGAGCCAAGAATCGTCAAGGCTTCAAACAGCCTCTGGAAGCTGAAAAACAATCACTGAAGGCCTTAATATAAGATTTGAATCAATGAAAAGACATGATGTGATCCCTTATAGAAAGATTGGATACCTTTAATCGTAATTTTTACTCTAAATTACTCAATTAGAGACTTGGGTAAGACAGTTTTAAGTTTTATTAAAAAAAAGGAACAATAACAATAATAAAAAATGAAAAAAGAATTGTGACATGAGGTTATTTGTACAGGAACAGGCAGAGTGAGTAGAGGACCATCAGAGCACCGTGTCACTAGTGACACAACCAGAGGGTCCCCAGGGGGAACACAGACATGGACTATGTTAACATAATAATGTGCTTAAACTGACAGATTCTCTCGCTTGTTTCTTGGATTGAAAAAATGTTTTTGAAGTACTTCTCRAATATGGCTTCTATCTTAAGCGGCAGCTGGATGAATTTGTGGTTCTGGAAAAGCAAAAACAATAACCTTCTTAGCCACTGTTCAGTGAGCCTAGACTCCCAGTGTCACGGGTATTCCAGAGCCTCATTTAGACTCCTTCAGACGTCAAGTGAGAATCAACCCAGTCAAGAGGAGTTTGTATTCCCTGATAGCTTGATTATTTCTTTTTGTTGGGAAGACAGAGAAGCAAAAATAGCACTACAGATTGAATATCCTTCATCTGAAATGCTTGGGATCAGAAGTGTTTTAGATTTTTTTTTTTCAGATTTTGGAATATTAGGATGTACATAATGAGATGTCTTGGGGATAGAACCTGAGCCTAAACACAAACTTCATTTGTGTTTCATATAAACCTGCTATGGATAGCTCAAAGGTAATTATATGCAATATATTTAATAACTTTATACATGAAACAAAATTTCATGCTGTGGAATTTGTCACCCATGATGTCATATTGTCCCTCAAAACATTTCAAATTTTGGACTATTTCATATTTTGAATTTTGATGTCCCATCTGTAGATCACRCTCTAATTCTTATTCAGAAAATCGTCAATTTAATTTTTTAAAACATTCTTGCTATCTGATTTTTTTTGCTATTTGATTTTTAAAGACAATATTATTCATAACAGCAAAATATTGCAGAAATATCCAAGGCCAATCAATGGTGTCTTCTTATTTCCTTCACTGTTATTCTTTGGAAACCCTTGTTAGCTTTTGGATAATGGCACCAGGAAATTCTGATGGAAAGCGTTATGGTTTGTATGTGAGGTGTCCCCCCAAAAGCTCACGTGTGAGACAGTGCAAGAAGGTTCAGAGGAGAAATGATTGGGTTGTAAGGGTCTTAACCCAATGAGTGATTTAATCCCCTGATTGGGATTAACTGAGTGGTAACTGAAGTGGTGGGTGTGGCTGGAGGAGGTGGGAATTGGGGCGTGGCTTTGGGTGTCTATTTGTATCTGCAGAGTGGAGACTCTGCTTCTTGATCACTGATGTCAGCTGCTTCCCTCCGCCACACTCCCCAGCTATGATGTCCTGCCTCACCTCAAGCCCCAAGGAATGGAGCCACCTGACAACCTCTGAAACTGTGAGCTCTCGAATAAACTTTTCCTTCGCTCTAGTTGTCCTGGCCAGATCCTTTAGTCACAGCAGTGAAAAAGCGGACTAGMACAGAAAGAAATCCAAGACTTTGAAATTTGAGAAATTCAGGTKGCTATCTTCTTTTAGAGAAGAGCCACACCAGTTGCCTTTAAAATGCGATTCTACTTCCTGTGGGAGACAATGGGTCTGCAGGGGCAGTTCTTCACGGGCAAGAATCAACAGTCTGCAAGCGAGCAGACTCGGAGTCCTAGGGTGGTGTTTGCCATGGCATCTGCTGGTTTGTTGTTATTTTTCCCACTTGTGCCCCAGGGCTCTTAGAATATTTCCAGAATTTTTGCTGCTATAGGCTTGCCACATGGGAGGGCAATTGTAACTTTATCTGATATCAAATGAAAGGCAAAGTTACTTAAAGAGGAAGGTTCGCAGGGGACCACTCACTCTATAGAAGGCCTTGTTGTTCAGAAAGATGAGTCGCATGTCCCGCACAAACCCCTGCACTCGGTGGTACTTCTTCTTATTCAGCCTTTCCTTGACCTTGTTTAACCACATGTGCTCCTGGGGGTCTTGAGTCTGTTGAGGAGAACACCCAGGGAGGGCCATTGGCATGCCTCCCACACATCCCAAATGCTATGGTCAACGTTTGTGACCCCACTTTCTCCAATTTTTGTTTCAAAATGCTGACCCCCAGCGTGATGGTGTTAGGAGGTGGGTCTTGGGGAGCTAATTATGTCAGGAAGGCGGAGCCCTCAAGAGTGAGATTATTAAGACTCCAGGAGGTCCCCCCCCCTTTCCACTAGGTGAGAACACAGTGAGAAGTGGCCCTCTGTAGCCTCTCCAGAACCCCACCAGGCCGGCACCCGGGCCTCAGACTTCCAGATAAATTTCTGTTGCTTCTAAACCCGTTAGTCTGTGGTCATTTGTTGGACAGACTGAACAAAGACARCTATCAACAAGGCAAAGATGATGGGAGCTTGGACTCATAGGATTCAGATCACAGATTTGACTAATKCAAGTTTCTGGCTTTGTTGCTGTTACTTACATAATATGGTTCTTGGGCAAAAAAGGCACTTTGTGAATAACAATAGACCTTCAATAGGATCAGCTCACATTTCTGTAAAAGACAGAGGAGATTTTAAGGAAAAGGTAGCACGGAGAGAAAGAGCCAGAAGCCTGTCTAGAGAGAATGCATGGCTCTCAGACCTGCGGGCTCTTTGAAATAAACATGGAATGGGGATTTTCTCTGGAATGTAAATTTTGGTGGTAGGTCAAGTAGTCAAAACATAATATGGGCCAACGTATTTCTCCCACCTCTGCCAGTCTGTGCTTCTCTGTGTGAACAGAAAGGAGGGGGCTTCAGGGTCACACTGACTTACCAGCTGTTCCTCAGGCAGCATAGGCCTCTTTAAGACCTCAGATTCCAGATGACATGGTTGGCTTTCTGGGTGATTTTCCCAGGCCTTTGTCCTGCATAAGGTGCAACTCCACTGGCTCCTGAGAGGTCAGGTGTAAAGTGAGCAAGGGCACCGTTTGTAAACCAGCCACCGTTCCCATGGCTGCTAAAGTTCAAGAGTGTCTAGTAGTTTCTGCCATGTATCCAACGTCCATATAGCCAAGGACATCCCCTTCCATCAATAGTGKTCACAGAGTGGCAGTGTGTTGACTGAGATGCCCCAGGGAGTGGTGGACTCTTGTTCACCTCAGAACTTGGAATTCCCATCTGAGTCACTGTGAGCCTTGGTCAACTATTGGAATTTACTACTTTAAGCCCAGAAGTTCTGGAACTTGATCAGTCAATCAAACCCTAGTTGAAATCAGGAAACCAGCCCCCATTTCTCAATTGGGCCGAGTAAGCACAGCGCACAGGCTAAGGCAGCCTCTCCTCTATCTGTGCCAGAGCTGTACCTAGAATCTGAGCTGCAGAAACTTCTTGGAAGGGAAATCTACTGACAGGGTGTCAGATGGCTTCCATTTGCCCCAGGATTCATTCTCTAATCTCTTCCAGGTTCTAGGAGGTGCTAGGAGGGTCTTGGTAAATCAGGTGGACACAATGATCCATCCTAGCAAAGTCAGCCTCTTCTGACCACCCAGTGATTCCTCTAGGGGCCCATTATGTGCCCATGGTGAAGAGATGGGAACTACAAGTGGGTTGGACGAAAGAGCTTCTCTGTTTTCTGCCTCTGCAGATCGCCCAACCTGTCAAAAGCAGAGGCTTACACTGATCCTCTGAGATGTTGCACTAGGAGCAGGGGACCACATCACAGAAGGGCAGTGCTCTGTCCCCACAGGGACAGTCACATTTCTGGTAGAGATCATTCTCCTGGCCACCATAATTCTGCCCACAAAACCACTCCCAGAACCCCTTATTGACCTCTGTGGAGTTATGCACCCCATCACCTCTGTCCAAAGACACACAGCAGAAGAAGTGCATCAGGGGGTTAACACCGACAGAAGTCACAGGTCTTTTTAATGTGCCCAGTTACCCAGACTCAATTGGCTTGATAGACTGCTGGGCTGGACTTCTGAAGGCTCATTACGGAACCAGCTTGATCAACTTTGCAGTGTTCCCACAGCAGATGATATATGCCTAGCATCAGCAGGCAGTTTCGGATATTACCGCCCTTCAGAGTGCACGGTCTGGGAACCAAGCAGAAGAGGTGGGAGTGACAGGCAGCTCTTACTACTATACCTAACAACCACTTGCAAAGAACTTTTGCTTTCCATGAAATCTACGGTTGCCAGCACCATTAAATAGCTCTGGATGATGCTTTTGGATCTCGAGATGCTAAGCATCCTGCTCCTTCTGCATCAGGGTGCACCCTACCAGTGAGAGAAGCTCTGAAGGTTATGTGTGCATGGTGAAAGGAACCATACCCCAAGAAGAAAGGACAAAGGGTGTGGATGAAGGTGCTTTACCAACCTCTGAGCATCTACGGGTGGGATGTGGCAGTTCTGATGGTAGGATCTTGAACAAGTACTGCAGAAGACCAGCTGTTTCTCTTGGCGGCATACTTCACACTTATTTGAGGTTTTTTGCTAGAAGGGAAATGGTGTAGACATCACACTTATTTGAGGTTTTTTGCTAGAAGGGAAATGGTGTAGACATCACTGGGATTTGTGAGACCCAGAAAGTTAACATGTTGAGATTCTAGAGTGTGTGGGCTTCCCATGTACCAAGGTGACACTTATAAACCTCTCTCCTCAAAATATTAAGAAACAATATTGAGTGGAGATTTTATAAGAGGACATTCTGGTCTACCACAAGTTCAGAAGACAGTTGCTATGTGCCACGCCAGAACATTTTTTCTTCATGAAAACAGTGATTCTGACATGGAATAGCTTGCAACAATAGCATCAAAAAGGGATGAATTAAAAATAATCTGGGCTGGGGAAGTGGTTCAAGCCGTAGCGCACTCGCCTAGCATGCGTGCGGCCCGGGGTTCGATCCTCAGCACCACATACAAACAAAGATGTTGTGTCTGCCGAAAACTAAACAATAAATATTTTAAAAAAATTCAAAAAAATAATAATCTGATATACTTATTATGTGTCTGGTAAAGTCTGGTCCAGGAACACAGTGTCTWATCTCGTTGTCTATTTTTAAAATTGACTCAACAAAGGGCGAGTCAATTAAATTAATGAAATTTAATGAGTGAGATGGAATAAACTTCTGAGATATCATTGTGTCCCATAGTCTTGGCCATAAGTTCCCCAGGAGTTGAAGAAAGGGCCTGGCAAGAAGGTCCTAGACTGTGGGTTCTGTGCCTGGAGGGCCCTGGACCCGTGGCAGTACCACTGGGTAGAAGGAYCATGGGTGCAGATGACCAGGTGAGTGCCAGGGAGGACAGGCTCTGGGAACCTGGAGGAAGATCCCCCATGACTCAGCCAACTTGTCATGTGAGGTGTGGAGCACCATTTCTAATGTCCAAGGAGTATGGTCATGGCAACTGCCCAGGGTTGAGGACCGAGATTCTACCCTCATTTTCTGTGCCCAGGAAAGAGATGGTAAACTTGTTCTATAAAAGGAAGATGGCCGGGCCCAGAAAATTGGCCAGTACTGAATTTCAGACCAATCTCAATTTATAATGACCTTTAGCCAGATTTAGTTTCATTTAGTTAAGTTAAAAATTTGACAGTATTTGTCAGGATTGTGGAGAAACTCACACATGTTAAAAATGACAGAATTTGTAGGTCACGATAAAAATTGGCTAAGGAAGGAGTCACTGTTAAGCAAGGGAAATTACATTTCCCCTCTTTTTTTGGTGAAAATTTTCATAACAATAACAGGTGGAGCCCTACATGCTATAATTTCTGGGTATGGGGGCCATGTGTCTATGTTAGRGAAATACCCAGAAGGATGGGCCCTGCCTCCTCTCCTGGAACCATSTGAGCAGAAAGAGAAGAGAACTGTCTGGAGGGACGTGGGTAGTGCCTCTAGCCCTGGCTGAAATACCTGCACCGTGGGCTGGAAGGAGGAAGGCACATGCTCATGTGACCATCTAGTGAGGCTGGGGTGGGGATTCTGGTGGGTGGGGAGGAGGTGGGGAGGTGACAGGGAGCTCCGTTCCATGTCTTCACAGTTCTCAGGTGAGACCTCTGTGTCTAGTCCTTCTAGAAATACTCTCTCTGCTTCGTTCCATGATACCCCATTCTCTTGGGGTTTTCTCTAACACTCTGTCTTTCTTTTCAGGTTCTGCCCTTGGAACGTGGGAATTCCTTGGGACTCTGTCCAGCGTCCTTTGTCCATTTCATTCTTCTCAACGACCAGCTCCTTCCATGACCAAACTTACCATGTGTGTCCCAGGACTTTTAGACCTGTATCCTGGTCTCCTTTTGAGCCTCCAAACATTAAAACTCTGMTCTTTGTCCTAGTGAAATGCATTTTGTCATGTCTAAAACCCATCCTGGCACAATACCCATTCCTTGTCTTGCTGTGTCAAATCTGCTCCTCATTTATGCTCCTCATCTCCCCCACAACCCACCCAGAAGCCTGGAAGAGAATTCTGATTCCTCCTGGTCTCCATCTCAAGGATCCGACCCTATCCCAGTCCTGCTCTTTCTCAGTGCTTCTGTAAGGTCTGCTGCTATGAGGGTGCACAGACCCTACTTTCAGTTTTATAAGCCAAAGCAAAATGCCCTGCTATTTGGGTTTAAAATCATTAGTAGTCATTCCTGGGCCCAGTGAGTCGAGGTGATTTAWTTATAATTTCTAATTTCTCTTGATCTTATAAATTCAAGATAAGAAGAGATACAAAAGTCACCCATATGAGCAAATTCTAGSTGGCAAGATGTATCTGGCCAATGTGTTCCCTTTCAATAAGAAAACTTGAGTGGTCTGTTAGGGAGATCATTGGGCACACCTCCAAGGACTCCGAGGTCACCCTGGCATAGAGCCCGGCACCCGTTTTTCCTTTTTGTCCTAATAGGTGAGACTTGTGGATGCTGACCATTATTTTAAATTTTCTGGGTCAAGGTTCCTGAGTCATCATCCTATAAATACAGGGCAAGTGGGCCTTGGGAAAGAATGATCAATACAGGCAAATCCCATGCTGGGGTTATGTGGTGTAGGAAGCCTGCAGACTTAAGGTTTCCTTCCTTCCTTTTTTCTTTCTTTCTTTCCTTCTTTCCTACTTTCTTTTATGATGGTGATAAAAAACTAAGGACTAGAGTGTKCTAGGCAAGTGCTCTACTATTGAGTTGCATCTCTGACCCTCYCTTTAATCTTCTTAGCAAGAAAAATTTGTTCTTTTATTTCTAATCTGCTGTAGAATAGAATAGCAGTGGTTTCCTATCTGCTGTAGAATAGAATCACCAGGAAGTTTTTAAAAAATTCAGGGCTGGGGTGTGGCTGAGTGGTAGAGTGCTGGAATGGTATATGAAAGGCTCTGGGTTAGATCCCCAGCAAAAAACCTCTCTCTCTCTCTCTCTCTCTCTATGGCCTGGGGCTCCATGACCAGAGGTTTTTCAACTCAGTGTGTCTGGGTTGGTGGTGAATGTGCCCAGGTGGTTCTAATTCGCAGTCATCAGGTGAGACCTCTGTGTCTAAGGCAGTAGTCTCTGGATCAGCAGCGTCAATATCACCTGGACGTGTTAGAAGTACACCGTCTTGGGTTCTACCYCTCAGGTGCTGAACCAGGGGCCAGGATGGGACCCAGACAGCGGTGGCCTGCCTGGCTCCAGGGGGATATCACACACACTACAGATTGAGCAGCCCTGGTCTACAGCCACTCACAATAGGGGCTGCGCTAAAGAAACCAATGGAGGGGCTTTGGAAAATCATCATTCTCGGGAAGCACATTACACCAATGACATTAGAATCTTGGGGGTGACCCCCACCCCTTGGTGATTGCAATGTGCAGCCAAAGTTTTCTTCTGAGCAAGGGCTGGGCTTGAAGAAGGGCGAGGACATCCTCACTCCAACAGTTGCCTTTTCATCTTCACAGAGGGTTTGACTATGGGCTGCAAGAACCATGACTGTTGTCAATCAAGTTATCCAGACTCCACATGTGAGAGCTCTTCAACCACTGAAGGGTCCCAGCTCCAGCACAGGAACACTGGCTGCGTGGGGGTACCTAGATCTTGTTAGGGCGGTGCATTTGACAGCAAACCAGAGGGCACGGCAACCCCCACTTTTTATCCCTCTTGCTGGCATCCTGCATCAGTCCAGCTACATAACATTCTATAATGAGTGGTGTCCCCTGCAGTTGTGCAAAAACCAGACCTACCTAAAAGGTGCATCTCATTGTCATGAAAAGAATCCAGGTGTGATTTGGCTTAGAAAGAGGAGTCATCTATGATTTGGGCAGACCTCAAAGCAGGCAGCATTATGACAAGCCGAAAATGGACAGGACGCTTGGGAACAGAATGCTTTGCACATYATTAAGCACCAGCCAAGCAGTTTGAATAAAAGCGCCCTGTGATTTGCTGAGTGGTGATGGTTTTGTCCTAACCAGCTACAGTACTCCCGATGGCTCCCTTGAGACTGGCCACAGGGGCTCTGAGACGGAGCCATTTGCTCTGTGTACATATCTATGCATGATTAAGGACAGGGTCCAGGGTCCACACCTTGAACTTGCCAGCTGTTCCCTCAGGATGATACTGAAGACCATCTTGAGCTCTTTGCCTGCTTTTGAGTGGATGTCACATATTTTTCTGTCCATCTTTCCATCCCCACTGCCTTCTTTAAAGAGCTGTTTTCCTCTCAAACTTGCTGCAMCCCCCAATCTTCAGGCCAGACCTGTATTTTCCACTCAAGCTCTGCCTCTAGAGACCCCAGTGGTCTAAGTTCAGCCTTCCATACCCACTTTTGAGGGGAGATGAGGGCACGGGAAGCTTTCCAATTRGACTGATGGAAAGGGTGCTTTCAGTGGAGACACCCAGCCTCAGAGCCATGTCCCTGGCTGGTATTCTTTGTTCATTACACACAGCAACATACTCCAACAGGGAGTGAGCGCGTCTTAGGGAGAAGCAGACATGATACAGGACATGGACCAGGGCAGAGGTCTGGGGTTAAGCTGGACATAGTACTTACATAGGGGTCAACTAAGACTTTGTTGAGAGACTCCCGTGTTTTCCTCTGAAAGAGAGAAACTTGGAGTGAAAATATTGAATGTGATATTAACCACATMTTTGAATAGACTTATTTATTGAAGGGATTTAGGCCATATCCCTCTATTTGTTTTGTTTTGTACCTGCTTTTATGGGCTATTTGCCTAATGAGAATGAGAACACATTAAATCATGTGTCTGAGACCGTTTAGTGAAAATTCCTTTCCCTGGCTCTGAGACTCAGGGGGACTCCGTGTGAAGTCATGCAGGGAGTCTGGCCCTCCTTTCCTGGTTGAGTTGGAGAAACCTCACTGGTGCCCCTACCTGCGACCCTCCAGCATTTTCTATCTATCAGGAGGTGTCATGCCATCCGAGAGCTGCAGTGAGAATTAGGCTGAGGACTCATCCCTCAAGGCCCCCTGTGGTCCTAGGGCCCAGTCCTGGAGGCCATGCAGGTGTCCCTCAGGAGGCCTCCACTGCCTCCTGCAGCTCTCCTGGAGCCCCTCCCTGAAGACAAAATGTGTCCAAGKTCCTTGGGGCTGCAGCGCCTCCTCCTGAAGAGAAGAACCTTTCCACTTCCCCTGGACCCCAGGAGCTGGCATTGACCTTGGATACCTTTGAAATGACGTGTGCTCCTTCCAGTCTGGAGCGTTGGTGGCCTCACATTTGCCTTCAGCCTGGAGCAGAGAGGTCATAGACAGAGCACCTGATGTGAAGCAAGGTACAACTGACCGAAGAGGTGACCATCTCATGCTCCTCTCTCAGTGGCCTGGAATGGGYCCCCACTGTCTTAGTTATTCTCTCAGGTGAGGCAAGGAGAACGCAGTCCTTGGGGCCTGCTGTCTGGGCCCCCCTCGGCTGCCTTTGGTCAAGCTCATTGCCTGGCACTAGTACTGCTCCCCAGATGGCTGGTGAGTGAATACTCGAGGGCAGGAAGAGATGAACACGGTTATAACTTAGAGAAGAGGTTTCTTAGCAGCCAGGAAGTGATCATCTTGGAGTTTTAGATCTTATGAGCCCAGAGAGTCTTAGCTATCACCAGCAGGTTGATCAGGAAATGCAGGAACAGAGAAGATGCTGACAGTAGCACCTGCCTCATGGAGCAGAGAGTGACGTGGGCAGCAGAAGCCAACGGCCATGGGAGGAAGGCCTTGGAGAGAGAWGGAATGATGGAAGGATGAGTGACGTTCAACCCAACTGATTATCCCGGGCAGAGYCACCCCTGGCTCTGGGGCTGCGAGGACATGTTTGGTCTTAATAAATAGATCAAATAATGTCTCTTTTTCCAGAAAACCCAGTGGACCCAGAGCCTAGTCACTGAGTGTCTGGCCATGAAGCCAGTGAGCAGAGAGTTCCAGGAGTCGGCCTTGTGAGGACTGGATTCTTGATGTGGTAGAGAAATATAAGCTCACCAAGGTCAGAGGTCAGGGCGTGCTGTTCCCCCATCTCCTCGCTTCACCAGGTTCTGGGACACCAGGCTTGGAGAGGCCACGCCAGGCACCGACAGGCTCACACCTTCCCTGCAGTCCCCACAGCAAGGAAACTGCTCGTCCATGCACTCCACAGACTACTGCCAGGAGGAGAATCCACCCTTATGGATGGAAGTGAGGTCTGTACACACCCTCTGGYGGGGTCAAAGGGCCTCTCACGGAGGACAAGATTTTCCCTGTCAGCAGCTGTAGTAATCCATATTGTGTTACTATAACAAAATACCCACGTCCGTTTTTATTAGAAAAACAAAGAAAAAAGAAACAAGGTTCTGGAGGTTCAGGAACCAACATCTGAKGATGGCCTTGCTGCAGAGTCCAAAGGTGAGGCAGGACATCGCACAGCAAAAGACAGGGAGTGCGTGTGGACAGCATCTGGCCTCGCTCCCTGTTCTTACAAAGCCACTGTATTCAGCCTTCGGGGCTCCACCCTGGTGACCTTATCTAATCCTAATCACTTYCCAAGAGTCCCACCTCTGGACACCATCGTTGGATTCMGTTTYTGTCCTCTTAATACCTCACAAAGGGGATGAAATCTCAACCCATGAACCCTTGCGGAGCACACTCAAATGACATCCAAACATCACGGCAGACTTGCAGGGTACTTCTGCCTTCAGTCACTATATTCTCAAGTGTGTCATAAAGGAAAAACAATTCTCTTGAAGAAGTGTGTGTGTGTGTGTGTGTGTGTGTGTGTGTGTGTGTGTGTGGTATGTGTGTGTACGTGTGTGTGTGTGTTTAGTAGAGGAAAGACAGAAAAGAAAGGGAGTCTGGTTTTTACTGTTGCTTCCCTGTGACACACCTTCCCAGGGGAAGTTTACAATAGGTCATCTGGAGGGACCCTGGGATGTTTCTCGGGAAACTTTTGCTCCATTCTTATTTCATTGAAGACACAACCCCCCAAACAGTGACAGACAGTGCTTAAGATGAGAACGCAGAGACAATGGCCATTAGAAGTATTGTTTTGTGCATTTCTAATTATGCTTGCTTTTCCAATTCCAGCCCCATTATTTTTTTGTTTAATTCTAAGATAATGTGGCACTCAGACCTTTCACTAACACATACATACAAGAACAGTTTTGCTTTATTGTCTATTTTTAAGGATTGTTCCCACCACCATCCATCTCACGTGTTCTAATGCTCAAAGAAGTTCTGACCTCTTATGAAAGCAGCAACTACGACAAACACCATTTGGTGAAGTCAGATTTTATCATAACTGATCAATTTAAAACAGAAATGGAAAATCAACAATTTGACGGTTGAGACATTGGCAGAAGGTCATGGGATAATCACCTTTTTTCTTGTTATTGGTGGCTTTGGTAGATGCCCTGCCTGAAAGAGAGAAAAGATCGATCAATGATGTGATGATGGGCCCTTATTTTTGATTTTTGAGGGTGGTATTTCTGACTGCCTTCCAGATCTTTCTACCTGGATGTCTCACTGTCAACTCAAACTCAGGGTGTCTTCGTGGAGGTCATTTTCCATGTTCCCCAGGGAGTGAAGGACATTTAGGCTCTTTCTTCTGGCCACATGACCTCTACAGCCAGCCCAGTGACTGCTGGGTCTCACTGCTTCCAACTTCTCGACACACCCAGGAGAAGAGCTTCCGGCCATCCCTTCTGCCCTGTAGGATGCCCTGTTCTACACTGTTCCTTGTCAGAGCTGCTCTCCTTTAAGACCAAGCTTGGTGCAGATGCCCTCCTAGATTTGTATGTTGCTCAGTAAATATTTGCTGAGAGCAGACCTTTTCTTTACTTGTGCCACAAGTAAAGGTCACCTGGGATGAACGCAGAGGCAAAACACACGCAGGTGTTCATCTGCAACAGAGACCTGTTCCTGTTTCCTCCATGTTGGCAGCTGATGTAGGAGGAAAGGAGTTATTTTAAAATGCATTTTATTTATACTCTTTTTTTCAAGAGTAAGTTTGAGGGGGCTGGGCTGTCTTGCTCAGTACTAGAATGTTTGTCTTGCCTCCTCAAGGTCCTGGTTTTTCTTCCCAGCATCTCTCTCTCTCTCTCTGTCTCTGTCTCTCTCTCTCTCACTTTCACCCAACGATTGTTAAAGAATCAATTTGATATGGCCTATCAAAAGAGATGTTGTTGAAACATTCTGTCACCAGGAACTACCCACACAGATGCATTATTTTCGGGTAGGTCATGGGTGACTTTTAACATTGGCCCTCCAGGTTTAAGGACACTTTCTCCCTCCACCTTAAGTGACTTTCATGTGACCAGATCTCACAGTTCATTCATGGCAGAGTCCCGGCCACAGGGTGCCATCCTGCCTTCAAGGACATGAGTGAACGTGCTTAGAGGGCCTCGGCCAGCCGAGGTACTGCCTCAGTGGCACGTCGTACGGACACTCGCATGATGACCTGAGCAAGGGGATCGCGATGGGCTTGGGGACACYGACACTCTGTGGAAGCCTGGCGTCGATGTGGGTGGACCTTTGATGGAAGCCATTTGTCACAGAATACCTCTATCAGTTCTTTCAGGGTCCATCCGTGGCAGCGCAGGCTTAGCTTCCAGTTCTTGGCTGCTTCGTGGTTTCCTTTGATCTCAAAGTCCCTGGGGGTGAGCCATTTTCCATCCTCAGTCCTTATGCTCTTCATCTGGGCCCCTGCAAGACCAAGGCAAGCTGAGCTCCCGGCCAGGAAGCGCTGCAGTGGACCTCCCTCACGCCGGGCCCGGGCTGCTGTGGGTCAGGGAACGGATTCCTTTCAGACATCAGGGACCCCAGTCCAGCCCGGAAGGCAAGGACAGAGGGGGACTCCCCTCATGGTGTGTGTTTCTTTGACCTTCATGTGATGAAAGGAATAATTACCACTGACGTTACCTTCTTAAAGTATTTTGTTCCATCAAAAGAGAAAAAAAATGAATGATCCTAAATCATGAGCAAGATTCTTTCTTCCCCTTTCTCTACGCCTCAGGATGGAACCAGCCTGGGTTTCAGAAAGTCTGACGAAGGCACAAAGCGCCTGCTGAGATCCTGCGAACCCAGGTGGCCATGTCAAAGTTGTCCCTACRGGTGCATCTGCCCCATCTTGTGCAATACCTTCTTCCTGCTAATGACAACTGGTGATTTCTTGTATTTGGATTCATGGCTATTTGATGTTAAAAGTAATTATGGAAGTGTTATGGAGGAAAACGTTAAATCACACMTAGGCAGTAGAGTCACAGGGCAAACACCGATACCTGGTACCCACAGAACTGTATTGTGGGAGGGAGGATCAATTAGGAGAGATGAACATTCATGCTACACTTTAAATGATCATTGGCAAAGCCCATTATCTCTTTTTTCCCCTCATTTTGTAGAGGAGAAAGTTCAGGGTCAGAGAGACTGAGTTCCTTGATGCTGAYGACACAGATGCTCTCTGCCGTGGTTTGGATATACTTAGAGTGTGTTTCCCAAGGGCTCAGGTGTTGAAGGCCTGGTCCTTACTATGGTGATGTCAAAGGTGGTGAGACCTTTAAGAGGTGGGGCTGCTAAGACGTCCTTAGGTCACTGAAGCTATTGCCTGGGAGTACTTAAGGTAGTTGCTACGGGACCCCAATCACTCTCTAGTTTTCCTGTCTTGTGATGTGATCTCTTTCCCTACTAGAGACTCCCACTATGATGTCATCTTACCATTAAGCCATCACCAAGGGCCAAACACAGGAGGCTGACAGCTCTTGGACTTCAGAYTTTGAAACTATGAGCTAAATAAACCTTTTTCCTTATAAACTATCCTGCCATGGGTATTTCATTATAGGAATGAAAAATAAACCAATAACCTGTTGGTATAGCTAAAACTTGAATGAAGGTTTTCTTTAAAGTCCTGTGCTCTTCCTACTTAAAGCTGAACAAATGTTATMGGAAACAGCCCCGGGAAGGTTGATGTTGAATTTTTCAGATGTACACATTTTCCTCCAGGTGTTGAAATGTTTCTCACTGCATCGGGTGCTAGATGGGCATCCTGTGGGCCTTTTTCATGAGTGGAAGGGTAGATGGCTTGGTAGGGTAACGTTTTATGAATTTTACAAGCGTGCAAATGCCACAGTACTGCAGCCTATCTGGGATGTTGTGCCGTAAAGACTTAATACCAGATAAGATCCTTCTATCCTGGGGCTGGGGTTGTGGCTCACCAGTAGAGCGCTTGCCAATTACATGCAAGGCCCTGGGTTCGATCCTCAGCACCACATAAAAATAAATAAATAAAGGTATTGTGTCCAACTCAACTAAAAAATAAATATTAAAAAAAAAAGAAACTTCTATCCTTAGAGAGGCTTACTTGCAAGTTGGACCCCTGGCTGGTATCTGGGAATATGGATCTTGGAAGCAATTCTACCATTACCCAGAACTGATGAGATGCCTCACTGTGTCCAAACTGTCCAACATGGTTTATGCAGAAAACCTGTTTTCCTCCTGAGAGTCAGGATTTTGGAATGTGCTAGGCAGAGGGTGCCTATGAAATTTGCCTCTGGTAAAAAATCCTGGACTCTTAGGCTCAGGCCAGTCCTAGTAGAAGACCCTTCACTGTGTTGTCACAGTTTGTTGATGGGGAATTAAGGGAGCACTGCGTGACTGCACCAGGAGGGACCCCTGGAAGCCAGCCTCGGCTTCCTCTGGATTTTGCCACATGGGCCTCTTCTCTTTGCTGATTTTATTTCCTTCCTCCACTTTAATAAATCCTGGGTGTGGGATGATATCCTGAGTCCTAGGAGTCCTCCTGGTGGGTCCCCAGACCTGGATCTGGACCCAGAGACCCCCACACAGAGATCTACTTCCTGAACAAAAAMCGAAGGTAACAAAACTCACCTTGCTTAAATCGCTTCTTATCGAGAGTCCCCTTAGCCTCACCACAGGTCACAGGAAGTTTAGGAAGGTTGAAATTCACATTTTTTTCTCTGGGAATTGTTGGACCTGCAAAGAAGTAGTAGAAGTAGTAGTAGTAGTTGTTGTTGTTTTGTTTTTAAATTCCATCTTCCTCTAAAACTGTGMACTCTGTCTCCCCATCTACCTTGAGATCCCTCTTTTTTAACTCAAAATGTATTGGATTTCAAGGTTTTTCTTTTATGGCCGCTTAGATGCCCATCGATAACGTCACCCTCCACTCCCACCTTCTGAATTCTTACATGAAGCCTCTTGAGGCAAAAGCTAAGCTCCCAGACTTGTGGGGCCACAACTCCTACCGCACAACGACTTTCCCCCTGGTGTTTTGAAGATGTATTTCTAACCATGTTATGACTTTGAGGTTCTGCATGTGTTAAAAAAAATAACCAAATTTTAGTCTAGTCTCCCATTCAAGGCATTGACTGGGGGAACAGGGCAGAGTGGCACAGGGCACCTAATGGGGTAGCTTCTCTCTCTCTCTCTCTCTCTCTCTGTGCTCTCTGAGTTGCTTCACTTATCCTCCACCCGAGCTTCCTCAATGGCTCAGGGTGGGGGCTCGAGAAGAAACTTCAAATGGCTCAGGGACCCCTGCAGTCCCCACTGCCTTCCAGCCCAGATCCGGGAGATCCATCGAACACACAGCCAGGACTTCTCTCTGGGACGGGGACAGTGAGCTGTCTATGGCTTTTCCTGAGTCATTTCAGAGATACAGACTATCAGAGCTGGGGGAGCCCCAGCAGGGAACTTGGTCTAATTTACCAAACACCCTTCCCCACATCTTTACAGATGAGGAAACGGAGCCCAAAGTGGCAAACGACAGGCTAAAGCCACGCAGTCCAGGAAGTCTGGGGGTTGGAACGTGGGTTTGGTGTTCCTTCTGTGCCATCTACAGCTTTCTACCTGGCCAGAGAAGGGTCCGCCAAGTATCATGACAATCACAAATTTTATATTTTTTTCTTTATATTTCTCTCCTCAAAAGTTATGGGCATAGTGAAAGGAGGTGCAGGACAGGGTGGCCTGGGGCCTCTCAGATCAATTGACTAATCAATAGAATGGGAGTTCACGTGATCTGCCACGTGGTTGAAACTGACCACTGCCAACCAAGATCCTAATGTTCRGAATGGGCTCCATAAACCCGTGATGGAAACTGATTTATCACTCAGAACACAGAGTATAGAACAGGAAKTTAGGTGTTTAATTATTAAAAGTCTATTGATCGCATCTTTTTACCTCTTTTTCTCCCTCTTTTCAAGGGTCTAACGTTGACTCTTTTTCTCCCTGAGAAAGTTGAGAAGCAGCACGGTTATCTCTTGTTTACAACATTGCATTGCAAATAACCATGTTTTTCAAAAACACCATTTAAATGTAATTTTACAGGAGCTTGTTTAGTACTTAAAGAAAAACACAAATGCCAAAATCAAAAGTCAGGCGCTTCTTCTGTAAAGATAGTAAATATTTAAGGTTTTGTGTCCATGATCTCCAGTGCAACTCTTTGACTCTGGAGTTGTGTCAGGAAAACATCCAAAGACAATATATAAATGAAAGGATGTGGATTTGTTTAAATAAACCTTAAAACAAACATTTGGAGAACGGAATTTGCCCTGTGGGCCATAGTTTKCTGACCCCTGACCTACACTTAGGTCTAAAAGTAATGCTGCAAGACATGGTGGCGTCTGGTGCTTGGGCAGGTGGATTGTGAGTTCAAAGCCAACCTCAGCAATTTAACAAGGTCCTAAGCAACTTAGAGAGATCCCGTCTCAAAAAAGTATATACAATCATATATATATATTTGGATTAGGGATGTGGCTCAGTGGCTAAGTGCCCCTGGGTTCAATTCCTAATACCAATAAAATAAGAATAAAAGTAATGCTTACCTGAGATTCACCCTACATTTCTTTACTAGTATCCACAATTCTTCCCAAACACATCTGAAACACTGATTTATGTTGTTTCCCAAGCAACACGTTGAGAACAATATGAAGAAAACTTTTGTCTCTACTAACTCCTTAGAACAAATCTATTAAACGGGTACTACAACTATTCTCACTTTCAAGGTGAGGAAACTGATGCTCAGAGATTTTAAAAAAACAAATTAAGGGCTGGGGCTGTAGCTCAGTGGCAGAGCGCTTGCCTAGCATGTTCGAGGTACTGGGTTCCATCCTTAGCACCATATGCAAATAAAATAAAGGCATTCTACAACTACAAAAAAAAAAAACTTTATAAAAAAAACAAACAAATTAAAGAAAGGTAGTGAAAATTTCCTTTGGGAAAGAGAAAAAACGGCAATTCAAGGTCTCGGGACAGACCTTATGGCAGACTTTATCAATCACACACCCAAACTTAAACTTGAAAGATTTTTCTACTGAAAATACTGCAGAAAATGGCCAAGGACTTCAAAACTAAGCTAGTGAAGGTTATTCAAGGCGGGGGGGGGATTTGTAGAAATTAAGGCTCAAAGTCTATGAGTTATAGAGCTAAAGACAGCACAAAAAATTGACTTAAAAGATATCTAAGAAAAATGTAGAGTCTGATTTTATGTGTTGACTGGATGTGCAGAAAAAAAAAAGGAAAGATCGAGTCACTCCATGTGATTATTTAAGACTGTGTCATTCAGTTGTTTGTGGCTGTTAAAGTCAGGGACATGGAGTGCCTGCTCACACTTTTTTTTTCTTTTTTTTTTTTTAGAGAGAGAGAGATTTTAATATTTATTTTTTAGTTTTCAGCGGACACAACATCTTTGTTTGTATGTGGTGCTGAGGATGGAACCTGGGCCGCACGCATGCCAGGCGAGCGTGCTACCGCTTGAGCCACATCCCCAGCCCCCGCTCACACTTCTCAAAGCCTGTGCCTGTGATTCTGTGCTCATGGCTGTCATTGTGGGGTGCTGATTTGGGCAGTACAGATCCTAGGAGAAAACTCCCCCATGTACATATCATACATGTGCTTTCCTTTAAGCAGCTTGTGACCAGATTAGGCTGGGGAGAGGTCTTTCCTTCAATCTAGTACAAAGAACCCTCAGGGTGGATGTTATTTTATTTTCTGAACCTTTGCCGTAAGAGTTACTCAGAGGTTTTTGCTTTTATGTTTTTAAACCTCATCAAGATAAAAATGGCCCCAGATGACACTGATTGATGATTCACATCCCCAAATCAAGTTTGTCTTACCTCACAAGGCATCACCCTTAGGAAGTTAATTAAGATGTTACAGAGATACATGCAGTGASGAATTACTAACCTTGCATGAGAGAACAATCAACTTGGCTATTATACTCAAAGTTTTAAGAAGAACAAACAAAATGGGAAATTGGAGTCCTCAAGGAGGTAGATGAACCTTTTTTTTTTTTTTTAACACTCCTTGATTGTGCCTCAGAACAAATTGCTCTAATTTGATCAGTTTCACAGAATATGATTGGGGTATGATAGCTCCTGGTGGCCAGGGTGAAAGGTCATTGACACAGGTGTGGTTCTCTGTGGGACTCTCTCCCTGTCACTCAGGATGCTGAAGGGACACGGGCCAACTCTCCCTCTTTCTCCACTCCTGGTTCCATGAGATGACACCTGTTCTATCTGCTCTCTCCTTTCCCATCAGGTGGCCAAACTGGAGCTCCAGCCCTGCTGCAACTGGATCTTCTCAGCAACAGCCATTACTTCCTCTTAGTCTCTCTTTGTWTAAATCCTCCTAGGGCTAGTGGGTTAGCTAATCTCTCCTTTCAATCAAAACCTGCCAGGGCAAACAACTTCAGGGYAGAGAAACAAAAGATCATTGTGCTCCCTCTTAGTTTATGGCTTAGAGAAATTTGGACTGAAGACCAGATCATATTTGATAAAGTGAACTTGGCTTTACAACGGCTTGCCCTGTCTTACAGTCAGGAAGTAAAACCCCCTTGACAGAGCAGGATTTAACTGTGCTTGTGTATACTAGTCTTAGAACCACTTTACTACTACTAACAGTAGTATTAAAACTCTATATCAACTTTCAAAAATAACAATGTGGTCAGAAAAAAATGAAAGTTATTAAAAATAATTTTGAGCAAAAGATGTTAGGATGTTTAGGTGACTCTTTGGTTTTCTCCGAGTTCCAGCAGATGTCTCAGGATCCAGGAATGGTGTGATGGGATCCTAAATCCTCACGCAGAGTGCTGGTCTACCCCTGCATCCCAGAACACGATAGGAAAGAGGGAGCCTGGTTCTGCAGCATCAGACTTCCCCACCCCATCCCCACTCTTATGAAAGAGCCTACATTTTTTGAGAGAGAGAGAGAATTGTCAGACATCTCCTTCAAGCCAAGTGAGAAGTCTTTAAGACATCACTGCGTCTGGCCATGGGAATGTGAGGGATGTAGATAAGATCAGACTCACTCCTGCTCTAAGTGTGAAAGTTATGGCTAGAGGGGTCAGTGGTGGCAGAGGACTGTGCTGAGAGCCTACAAAGGAACAGAGAAGAACCATGATTGCCAGGGCCTCRTGGAGACGCTGTAGATGGGAGCAGGACTGGAGCGTTTTTGAGAAGTACTCTGCCCGAAGTAACTGCAGCAGGGTGTGGACCTTCTAGAAGGACCATTCAACACCTTAATTTCAAAGCAAGTTTGTCACTATTAAGAATGGACAGGCAGTGAAGATACTGCTTTTGCTCTACTAGTGAGAAATTTATGGCCATATATGTATTTATATTTATAAATATACGTATGTTTCTGTATGTACATATTCCATTTATACATACACATACACGTATCCAGAGAAGGTTGATTTTAGACTGGCTGAATCACAATGGGGCAACCTAGGAGACAGGCAGATAAATGTCTTCTCTGCTTGCTTCATCATCCCTTTGCCACAGCTTTCTCCTGGCTGAAAGAGAAACTCAGCAGAGTTCTAGAAGGATCAGCAAATTTCCCAGGGAGAAAGGGGGCTTTCTACATGGTAGGGTGGAACCTGCACAGGTGGGATGGAAAGACTGAGGATCTGGTTCAGTAGACAGAGGTGAAGATCTGCAGGTGGACTCCAGGAAGAGTCCACTGCTGTTCCTACCCTTCCAGGCAGCAATGGTGAGGGGCCATGGCAGACACTCCACGGGGCCCGCTGTTCTCCCTGCAGGACAGGCAGCTGTCCAAGGTGCTTGCCGGGTTGGGTGGGAGATTCTCAAGGGAAGCCACGTATGAACGGGATGAGCCTGGGAGGGCAGCCAGTCTGATTCATGTTATTAGGAGTAAACTGAGGCAGAAGTGGCGAAGGGGCAGACCCGAGTCTGCAGGATGACCACAGGGCGTCAGGGAAGAAGGGAGTGGATACATCACCTGTGTGTGTGTGTGTGTGTGTGTGTGTGTGTGTGTGTGTGTTAGCTATTTTGAGCCTTAGAAGTTATCAGATCAGCAGAGGCCACAGTGAGTGGCCAGGGACCTGGGAGGAGTGGCAGACTCATCACTCAGGTTTTGTTTGCAGTGTATTATCTTTCCTTCCCTGACCCATTTGGAAATTGACAGTATTTTATATATTTCTTAACAGCACATCTACATAAAGCAATTAGGGAAACAGGTTTGTTACTAACGAACAAAATAAAGCACGAGAATTTAATGTTTGTTGAAAACGTTTCTTTTCCTTTCTTACCTTTTGGCCAACCTCTTTTCCTTGGAAGGGCATTATTCTGAATTGAGTGGAATCTATGTCTGCCTTTCTTTATTTCTGAGAAAAAAAGGAAAAATATAAAACAGTTGCATTGCATAACAGTGTTTTTCAGATTTCTACTTTACTGTAACTTTTCAAGGGTCTGATACATAATGAAAGCTATGTAGTCCATAGCCTAGCAAATTCCAAGCCTTTAATAGTAACCTGGGCTCACYTGAGATTCCATTGTATTTACTCTGACATTGATCCAAATTCATTTACTCCCATGTCAATAAAAAAATTAACATATTATACCAAAGAATATTGTGATAATAATAATGATATCTAACACTTAAGTGCTTATTATATTCTAGATAGTAATACAAGACACACACACACACACACACACACACACACACACACCAGGATTGAACCTAGGGGCACTTAACCAATGAGCCACATCCCAGCACCTTTAATTTTTTGAGACAGGGTCTCACTAAGTTGCTTAGGATCTTGCTAAGTTGCTGACACTGGCTTTGAACTCGGGATCCTCCTGCCTCAGCCTCCTGAGCCACTGGGATTTCAGGTATGTACCACCAATACATACATATGCTAGTAAATTTAGGAAAGAAATTTTTTAAACCCCATTACCAATGAAGAATCTGAAGCATACAAAAAATTAAAAAACGAAGTGAAACATTGTAGATTTCCTTTGGTTGAAAGGCAGAAATCAATGGTAGCAACATAGGAATTTGGATTGTTCAGGGAGAAGTGAGGGTGTGCTACAAGGATGAGACACTAGCATCTTAGCCCTGGTCAAGAATTTGGGCTGAAAAGAAAATGAAAGTCACCAAAGACCTTTTTTAAATAGTTTTGAACAGATAATAGCATCAAAGAAACTAACCAAAAGGACACTGCCCTAGGGGAATTGTAGAGATAAATGTTAAAATCTTAGAAAGCCTCAAGGTTAAAGACAGCAAAAAGTGGTTCACTGAAACCCTATCTCAGGGAAGGATGCTCTCAGAGTCAGTAGTTAGTGGGTGTGGGTGGAGAGCAGTGAGGTGGTGTGTGCAGGCACGACTCACCATGCCAAGATACCCTCTCTCTCTCCCCTGGTTCAGGCAAACACAGACTCTTTTTCTATCTCTCTGTGTCTTTCTCTGGAACTGCTATATTCACCTTTCATCAAAATATGTTGAGGTCAAACAGATTAAAGGCATAAAGTTGTCTGGTTCAGTTACCCAAGCTCTCCTCATTAAGAGATCTCGGGCTTAAGACTTCCAATCCCATAGAGCTCCTGGACTTTCCTTTAGAGTCGTTCTTTTTAAGTTTTTTTTTTTTTTTTTGCTCAAATGCAATTAAGCATACATAATGTGGCTGTTCTTAAATTTCCTGTCCAATTGMCATTGATTGGCACCCTACACTTGCTATAGAAGTGAGCTAAGAGCTCCCCTCTCCTCAAGGAAAGTGAGAAGGCTTTGCCTTCAAGGGAATAGGCCTGCATCTCTAGGAATTTGGAGGAGCAGAAATATTTACAGCCTTGACCATGGGACAAGTACAAGGGAGACCCTGCTAGGAGCCAGCCACAGGCCCAGTGGAGCTTTGAGGAAGGACAATTTTCATAAGCTTCCCCGGGGAAAGGAGGAGTTCAGTTAGTCCTTCTTGAAAGATACTCTGTGCAGAAAGATCACTAGGATGGATCACGTGGATGGTGGCCCAGCAGGAGTGTGGATCTCCACAGCCGGTTAGTTTCTGCATTAAGGGAACTTGAGTTGAGAGATTTCCTGTATATTGGGTCTCTAAAGAACTAAAAAAAGAATGTAGCTCATTCATTCACCGTATCTGGGAGACATCAAGGATCTACCAAAAAGACGGTCATGGGAACCAGTAGAAGCTCAAAGGAAAAATGTCTTAGACCTGGGTAAGTACAAATTAATTTGGATATGACAAACATGATAAAGATAGGGATGGAGAGGAAAATGATAGAGATGCTAGAAGTAATGGAAAGAAAAAAAATATATCCAAAGATGCTTTAACTCTAGAGGAAAAAAAGAAGCCCTGACACCACTACCACATAAGTACACTAGAAGTATTTTATAGAAACAAAACATTGTAGCCTGTGCAGCAAACAATGGAGCATCCTGTGTCTTCTTCCTCCAACACCCAAGCACAACACGGTGTGTGCTCTGAGTTTGGTTTGAATAACTGTTTCCCAGGCTTAGACCCAACATGGTTCCAGGGCTGTAGCTTTGGCTTCATTGATTTGAGTTCCCAACGTCATTTGAGTTCCCACTGTCTATTTCTCCTTGTTCYACCAGGGGCTGGATCAATTAGTTACAATACCCCCTTCTAACACTTTGCCCTCTCCTCCCATTCCCAATTGGGGATGGCTCATCTCTGGCTTGTAATTCTGTGCTGCACCCCAGGTTCCAGTTCATGCTCATGCCAAAGGGTCTCAATGTGGAGAAGGCTTGGTTTGAACCAATGCTTTCCTCATTTGGAGGAACTGGTGACTTTGGATGCAAATGTGAAGGGCAAGTAGGCAGGCTGCTGCTTGTCACCCACAATCATCCTCTCTTTCTTCTATAAGAAGAGAGTTATGGCTGCCCTCATGGATGCTGGGGAGAGATTATATTTCTCAGCCTCACTTGCAGCAAACTCTGGCCAAGTGACCAAGTTTTGGCTGATGGGATTTGAGTAGAAGACTTCTTTCCAAGAAACCAGTGGTGGTTGTTCCGTTCATTTCTTCCATTCCCACTGGTTGAGAGAGAGCAACCACAAGGTCAGCCTTGTTGGACCCAGAAATGGTAACCACATGTCAAGGAAGGCAGATTCTTCCTACCACCCCTGAACTGTTAAATGAAAGAGATATTCATTGTTTGCTTTAAGCCTGCATTTGGGGATATCCTTGTTACAATGACTTAGCCTGTATTCTAAATAAACCAAGAGTTAATCAGTTATCGTGGTTCATGGGAGATTTAGGGGCTGCAGCAAAGGTGAAATCTRGAAGAAAGATCAGGACCACAGCAAGCTCAAGGAGTGAAGGCTAACAGTTCTCCTTACCTTTTTGGAGATGGTTTACTTTATGAAGTCTTTTTTCCCCTTCAACAGAAAAGAGAGAAAATGATCCTTTAGAGCTATAAACAAAGGTTTACAAGCTTTATATATCAGTAGCTTTCAAGTATTCTATTTTTAAACCTTCATTCCACTATGCTTTTGTGAGGCTAAATCCCCAGCTAGAAACACACCACCATGGTTATTGTCACATAGAAAAAATTAACACAAAAACCTATATTTGCATTGTCAATGATTTCTTAAAGAGAATATTTACATGAGGGTTTTTTTTTAAAGAGAGAGAGAGAGAGAGAGAGAGAGAGAGAGAATTTTAATGTTTATTTATTTATTTTTTAGTTTTCGGTGGACACAACCTCTTTGTTKGTATGTGGTACTGAGGATCGAACCCAGGCTGCACGCATGCCAGGMGAGTGCACTACCGCTTGAGCCACATCCCCAGCCCAACATGAGGGTTTTTAAAAAATTTTTTTTTAGTTGTCAATGGACCTTTATTTTATTTCTTGATATGTGGAGCTGAGAATCGAACCMAGTGCCTCACACATGCTAGGCAGGCACTCTGCCACTGAGCCACAACCCCACCAGTACATGAGRTTTTAACAGTCACAGTAAATAAAATTTTTAGAATTGCTCAATATCAGGCAGAAAGTGACAATAGAAGAGGAATGTCAAACAGGTAAAAACAAGATTTCAGACAATGTCAGCACACTTGCAGGAATTTAGAGGAATACCTTGAAAATCCAAAGTTATATTTCCTGTTTACAACATGCAGAAATTAAGAAATAAACCCATCAGAACAATGAAGTCAAACTGTAGGAGGAAAACAAAGGAGATGGGACAATTCAGAAATTAAAAAGGACATAGATTATAGAATTCAGAAAAGGAAACAAGGATGTTTAAGAAGAATTGAGAAAAATCAGTAGAGAGAAAAGAGTCAGTGGAAAACCATGAACAGATCATCGGAGTTTCTGAAGGAAAAAAAAATAGAAGGAATACTTGAAGATAAGTCAAGAAGAAGGTATGTGCAGTTCTAGCATCACATAGAACTCATGTATCACMAGTACACGTGTTTTCAGCCTGTAGCAGAGACGTGCACTCAAGACCGTCAACCCTGAGACATATTCCAGGAAATTTACCACACCTCAAAGTTACAGGAAGAATTGAATGAGCGGCCTAGGCAAAAAGATCAAGAGAGGGGATCTTATCAGCTACAGAATTTTCCACAGTAGCATTTAATGTGGACAAAAATCTACAAGATATTTCTATAAATAATTAGCAAATTATTTTTCAGGTACAATTAACACACATAATTAATTTCAAACAAGAGAATCCTGGGGGATGTTGTTCCTTTGATCTCTTTTTGAGAAAATAACCTAAATCACTAAACCAAGGCAGGATTGGAAAAATGTTGGCAAAAGGACTGAAATATAAGGAGTGGGGTGGACTAGAGGGAAATATGGGTGGTAGAGCAAGTTTTTTATTTTATCACTAGGAGTCAAAGGGTATTATTTGGACAAACCCAGGAGTAATTGTGAAGCATTTTTTAACAGCTGAAAGGCAATAATCATGGTCTAAAACTGAGTGGGTGAGGAGACTGAACACACTCTGATTTTACAAATCTGGATGGGAAACTAATGGGTACCGTCTAAAAGAGAAGATCAAGGGTATCATAAAAAGACAAATCTAAGAGTGATGACAAGAGCAGAAACCTAATCCTTAAATATCCAGTGTCTTTGCTCCCACCAGTGCACACTAGGAATGGGTGGGGCCAGAATCCAGTCACCAGAGCTAACTGTAAGGAATGCAGTGAGGTATAGTCTCAGCTCAGTGGCCAGGTGTCCAGCGGAACAAAAAGGCCAACCTTCCTAGGTATCTGAAGTACACACCCACACCCACACAAAATGCAAAGAGACAGAATGTAGAGTGTTGACATTTCAAAAACCTCAAACCCTAGAATTTCAAAGTAGAAATCAATGGGACCAAACAAGATCAAGCATCTTGATGTCCATAAAAGTAAATGTGCTTGACTCATTTGAAAAAGAAAATTTTAGATCCAATTATAAATTAAACCCAACTTTTCACTACATACAAGAGACTAACTTAAAAACAATGAAAATAAATATTTAAAAACAATGAAAATAAATATGCATTAGCATATCTCTACAAGAAATCAGGGCTTATCACTGAATCTCAAAGAAAGTGTAATTCAGCCCAAAAAGTGTTCAGCAAGGAGAAATCATAGGAGACACAATAAGAAGCAGAAATATACTATTAGAAGACTTTTTTTCTTTAGTTCATAAGAGATCACTGGACAAGACAGAAGAGGCTATGAAAGACCCAAGGAACACATTTAACAAGGCAGACGTGGTCTCTGTGTAATGAACTCCTTAGRCAGAAAATAGAGCACATGCCCTTTCTTCCCCTTCTCTTGAATGTCTCCTGAGTTAAGGAGAAAATACAAATGCAAATTGTGGGATGTCTAGCCAATAACAACATTGAAGACACCACTTACAGGAACCTATAGAAGACTGATAATAGAATGCCCACAGAAAAATATCAGCCTTAAATAATTAATCAGTGATAGAAATGACAGCAATTGAATTAAAACACCTGCCTCAGAAAGGTTAAAAAAATATAAAATATTCCAGATGATATAATCATAGACTCAGAAACCCCCAAAGAAGCAATTAATAATATAATAAGAAAAATCAGAAAATTTCAGATTATGGAAATGAATAGCTTTCGTATATAGGAGTAATGAGTGATCAGTCAAAAGGTGCACTGGGAGGAAAGACAGCAATTACAACAGCATCAGCAACAGCGGACAAAACAGAAGGCCTGCATCCCCCACAGGAGAGAAAGCTGAAGYGCTACTGAAGGCAGGAAGGGCGGGCCATGGGCCACCTCGCTGTGTTCTTGGTGGGGAGTCTCAGCACCACCACACGCTGACCACCCGAGACAGCTACGGGACCCTGACAGACCACTTCCCCCAGCTCTACTCCATCTCTCCAGCTGGTGACCTCCAACGCCRTTCTGTAAAGGACCACGTGGAGTGCTTAGGCTTTGCAATGAATGTTTTCCCGCCTCTCTCCCTGGCTCAGTCCCTCGCCTCCTTAAGATCTTATACACGGTCTGTTAATGAGGTTCTCCTTGTCCACCATTCCTAAAATGACATGTTTTCATCACTCTACACCTGCATTACTCTTTGTTCCTTTATATATTATTTACATACTATTGTTTGCTATATAATAATATAATCTATTATTATTTATATGTTATTCCTTTGTTCCATATAAAATATTACACATTGGGCTAGGAGTATAGCTCAGTGGTAGAGGGCCTGCCTAGCATGCCAGAGGCTCTTGGTCTGATCCCCAGAACTGCAAAAACATAAAATAAAAATAAAATATGATATATTTATTTGTGTATTTTCTACATACCCACAGTAGGATGTAAGGTTGATGAGATTTTGTTCATTTCTTTATCTCTGTTGTGCAGCTTGGAAATATCTGTTGAACATATAAATGAAGGATGTGAAAAGGAAACAATAGTGAGACCACTCATGTTCATGAGCAGGAAGACTCAATATTTTAGACATGTCAGTTCTCCATTCTATGCAATTTTGATAAAAATAAAACAGGGTTTTAAAGGGTTGGCAAAATGACTAAAATTCATGAAGAAAGGTGGCACATGCCTGTAATGGAGGCTGAGACAGGAGGATTGAGAGTTCAAAGCCAACCTCAGCAACTTAGCGAGGCGCTAAGCAACTCAGTGAAACCCTGTCTCTAAATAAAATACAAAAATGGGGTGGGGATGTGGCTCAGCAGTTAAGCGCCCCATAACAACAACAACAAMAAAATCATGACGAAGGGAAAAATGGACATAAGAGCCTAAATAATTTTGAGAAAGAAAACCATTGGGAGAATATTAAGATATTATGCAATTAGAGTACTTTAATAGAGTATGATATGTACTATTACAGAATAGAGAGAGCAATGGATCAGTCTAGAAAGCCCAGAAACAAATCTGTCTATCTACCTACCTATCTCTCTGTGTATGCATACTACCACTGAGCTACAACCCCAGCCCAGCCGTGTGTGTGTGTGTGTGTGTGTGTGTGTGTGTGTGTGTATGTGTGGCTTGATGCAGACCATGTATGATATTGCAATATCTTTGAATAAACTGGGACAATTGGTTGCCATACTGAGAAAAAGTTAGACTCCCACCTAATGCCACACTGAAAAGAAAGCAACTCCAAAAGGACTAAATATGTAAGTGAGAAAATAAATAAGGATGTCGCAGTCTACTATTCTCAAAAGCAGATCTTGTTCAGTAAGCTTACTCTTGAAGCAATCCCAAGGAGCAGGAGTGAGGAACTAGGAAGTGGGAAAGGGAAGAAGGAGAGCCAATTGGTGTCCAACTGGTCCTCCATCTTGCTAGGAACCTCTGAAGAACTGTAAATAGTGGCTGTCAGAGGAGCTGGGGAAGCAGCTCAGTGGTACAGCGTTTGCCTAGCATGCAAGAAGAAGAGCGAAGAGTGGCCTCCACACTGTCCATCTTGGGTCTGACTGTATTGGTCAAGATGCCCAGTCAAGTAGGAGAGCAGAAAAGCTCTGGGCTGCTCCAGGATTAGGCCATGGTTCCTTAAACAAGATTGAAAAGCATAACCATAGAGGATAATATAKACAGGTAACACAAAGAAAGTATCTTTTGTACATCAAAAGCACTATCAATCAGGGGAAAGAGGTAAAAGGGAGATGGAAATAGGTTGGGGGAGTTTCTAAGAAAACATCTCTCTGAAGAGGAGATTCTTGAGCTGAAACATGAATAAGGAGCCTTCTGCCCCAGGGAAGAGCATTTACATATATCAACAGAGATGGTAAGGCTTTGAGGCAGAAAATTGCTTGGTGTATTCAAGGAAGGCCAGAGTAGTAACTGAGGCKGGCGTGTGACAGAGAGAAGATTTATAAGGTGATCGGGGGCAGCTTATGTGGAGCTTTGAAAGAATAGAAAGACATTTAGACTTTTTCCTCTTGATTCAACTGGAAACCATTGAAAGGGTATAAGCAGTTGGGTGGCAGGCTGTTGAGTGGAGAATGGACTATAAATGGGCAAGAAGGGAAGTGGGGTGACCGGTGGGGAGGRCTCTGGTTTACCCCATGCAAGATAATGGGACTTAAACTGGGGGAGGGGCAGGGGAGATAAAGAGTGAACAACTTGAAATATACTTTTGAAACTTGATGGATTGAATGTGGAGGGTTAGGAAAAGGCGGAAATCAGCACGTGCCCTACATTTTTTTGGCTYAAGCAACTGAAGATATATACCATTWACTGAGATGAGGGTGACTGGTGTGGGTGATAGGGTTGCAAGTACAAACCATGAAGTCTGTTGAGCATATAAAATTTGAGAGAGACACCTATTAAAATCCAAGTGGCTATTTGGAGCAAGAATTTGAATTTATGATTTGGCAGCTCAAAAGAAAGAGGAGGAGAAATATAATTGGCAATCATAAACACGAAATTGAAAGAACAGCATGGTTAGAATGGAGAGAGTACTGTAGAGATGGGAAGGGACCCAGGTCTTTCCATCATGTAGACGTCAGCAAGTTCAGAAGGCCCACCACCAGTACCACCATTCAACACCATCATCAACACACCAGCAAGTGACCGGGGAGGTACTATTAGACAGTAAGAGATTGTGGGTCTCAGAAGATAAAAGAAGAGATTGCATTCTAATCCACATGACTTGAAGGGGCTGTGTTCTCCCCGTCACCCACCTGATCATGGTGGTGCCAAGACCTGCTGGGTGCTAGAAGGCAAAAGGCAGCCAACACCCCCAGCCTTTAAGACCATGATCAGGTGACCACCGCCGGCCACCCTCAGATAAGCCACACCAGCTCCATCCTCTAGACTGGAGAAACAGCTTTCTGAGGCCCCAGGCTCCTGGGAAGGGGTCTCTCTGCCCTTCCACTATTACCTCCACACCTGCTGCCTTCCTTCTGCCTCACCTGTGAGGCCAGTGGGGTCACTCATCTATGGCCATTTGTACATCTGTCCTCGGAAGAAGCCCACTGAGAATATGTAGTCTAGAAGCAGCCTCACCCCACAATGAGGTCTGCAGAGAACCCACATTAGATGGCAGCATATCTATGACAGAGAACATAGGTGATGATGTAGAAATAGACAACACTAGAGAAATAGATAATGATGGTGAAAAATCACCACTCTTCTCACGGGTAGTTTCCTGACATTTCTGATACCTCTTTTCAYATTTTTGTTTGTTTTAACTGTGTATTTTGTACAATCATATATTTGGATTAAACTTTCACACACTGGTAGAATTAACTTATTCATGAAAATATATCATTCAATAACTATTTATTGAGCCCTTATAGCTAATTAACCCCAGGAGCTGAGGATAGAGTTGTGAATAACATAAAAGTCCTTGCTACAAGGAGTTTACATTCTGGTGAGGAGACAAATAATGAAAAATAAATACATAAGATGACAGAGTACTATAATGAAAAGTAAATCAGAATGAAGGGATCAGAGAGCAGTGGATGGGGCTGTGTGTGTGTGTGTGTGTGTGTGTGTGTGCACTAATTTAATATAGAGGACTTGGGACGAATCTCTAGTAAGTTAACTTTTGAGCAGATATTTGAAGGAAGTTAGAGTCATTCATAGATTCTGTCCTTCATTGGTCAAGATGCCCAGATCATTCCCTTAGGAAAACCACTGTAGGCTCTGAGTTGACCACCTTATCTGTGGAAGTGAGGGTCACTGTGACTTGCCTGCCATGCCCTGCAGGCTGCGCTATGGTGACTTCATCTGTCACCAATGAGATGCCAACCAGTCTTCAGTGTGACCATAAACTTGAGTAAAGGTTTTTGTAGTCTTGGCCTCTCTGCGGAAGCTTGCACACTTGTTTGGGGGTGCCCTGGTCCTCCCAAGTTGGCTCTTCCTGCAGTTTCACCAAATTATCTATCTTATTCCAGTAACAGTGGGCAATTACAAAGACCATTTTGTATATCCTCACCCAAAACAGGTAGCTTGAAGGGAAACTGAGATTCGGTGATCTTTGATATAGACGTGGTCTGATTTGCCTGGAAAGGACAGTTGAGGAAGGGGTCAAGAGTGAGAAGTGGGTAAGTAGGTCAATAAAAAGGGGGGTGTGGTGAGGCCCACAGGACGAGGTCTTGTAAGTGGCAACTGCATTTTGAAAAAAAGAAAGAGTGTAGAAAGCATTTTAATGATGCCAGGGATGATTATTAGCCTATAAATACAAAACCATGATTATAAAATATTATATGATAAATTATTAAATAATAATAACCATCCTCCCACTCAAATATTGAAATAGTTGTTCATATTTTGTATTTAGGTGAAGACAAGAAAGGAAAGGTAAAAATAAAAAAATAAGAGGTCTCAGCCGGCTCAGATTGAAGCAACAAGAATCATGGGCCATAGTAGAAAAGTCTATATACATCCTTAGTCCCTGTTTTCAGGCCTTTCTCTTTTTATGCCAATAAAATTAAGCTCCACRTATTTGCTTTTCTTATAAGACTAACAAATTTCCAGAGATTGGGTTTTTAAGTCCCTGTAACAAAGAAAAACAATTCCAGAAAGAGATGAAAGAAAATTCTCTCAACACMGTTGTAGAAGGAGAGAGAATATCTGCACCACAAAACTAATAGATATGATCGGAAGGGTTAAAGTGAGAAGTTTTGTAAGAGTCTTGTTCTCTGGTAAAATACAGGAACACGTGTCTATTTATAATTATTATCAGTTCATTCTGTCCTCGGTTAATATAAGTTTGTCGTTGGAAGAGTTGGAAGAGTAGAATGTTTCTAGGGATGTTCTTCCAAGTTAGGATTATTGACATTTCTRATGAAACCAATTTCCAAAGGAGGCTGTAGTTCTGATTCATCATGCTACTTGATAGTTTAGAACCATRATATTTTAAGTTACATCTGGATCCTGAAACTGCATAAATGTTGTAAGATTTTATATCAAGTCAGTGACTTTCTGATTCCCTCACGTGTAAATAATAAAATGACTATGGATTTTCTATTTAAATTAAGATTTTGAGTCTTGTCTCATTTAAATTCATTGGGTTATTATATAGATGGAAAAACTATGTTCATGGTAACACATATTTATATAATATATACAACTTTTTTAAAAGTGCAGGAGCTATTTAAGAAACTTCTTATTGGAAGAATATTAAGTAAAAATGAATAAATGGGTAAAAGTCTGTATTATCCCCAAATTAACCTGCATTTATGAGGTCAATGCATTTCTAATTAGAGGTTCTGTTGGATTTGTGAAGGGGTGGGGGGGGAAGAATCTTGAAGTTATTCTAAAACTTATCCCCCCAGTAAGTCATCAGGATGATTCTGACTTCCGCTTTCTCTTTTGTAGTGCCTTCTGTCATAAAAGAAAAACTAATAGGAATAGGGAAAGACACTGTGTGGGCTAAGTGGCAACTTAGTTCAGGATGCAATAGTGTAGGGAGTATTTTTAAAATTCCTAGCTCACATGTACACAAAGAGATGCATAGATCCCATGTGGCTTAGAGATAAGACTAAAAAGGATCAAGTGTTTGACAAATATAGAACAATATTTTTGAAATTTTGATGTAGAAATGGCTATTGTAAACATTATATGAAACTCAGAAACCAGTGAGAAAAAGGATGACAAATTTGACTACCAAATTCTTAAACTCCTCTAGCATAAAAGATTCCATTAACAAACCTAAAAGAAAAACAACCACTTGTACAAACTATTAGCAATACACATGACAAAGATTTAATGTCTATGACATAGGAGGGTATCCATGATCATTCAGCAATGTGAGGARGCAAACAAACCACATCTACAGCAAAGAGATTTGGGAAGAAGAAAAACAAGTGATCAAGAGCAAATCAAGTCTTGTTAAGGAAATCAGGTCCTAAGTCAACATGATAAAGATTTGGTCTCACTTTTTCTTCTATTCGGCACAGGGTCTTTGTTCTAGTGCCTAAGTCTTTGGTCCACTTTGAGTTGAGTTTTGTGCATGGTGAGAGATATGGGTTTAATTTCATTTTGCTACATATGGATTTCCAGTTTTCCCAGAAACATTTGTTGAAGAGGCTGTCTTTTCTCCAATGTATGTTTTTGGTGCCTTTGTCTAGTGTGAGATAACTGTATTCATGGGGGTTTATCTCTGTGTCTTCTATTCTGCATTATTGGTCTACATGTCTTTTACGGTGCCAATAACATGTTGTTTTTGTTAATATAGCTCTGTAGTATAGTTTAAGGTCTAGTATTGTGAAGCCTTCTGCTTCGCTTTTCTTGCTAAGGATTGCTTTGGCTATTCTGGGTCTTTTATTTAACGGGATGAATTTAAAAAGATTCTTCTCAGCAAAGGTAATAATCAATAATGTGAAGAGAGAGCCTACAGAATGGGAGAAAATATTTACCCCMCACACCTCAGATAGAGCATTAACCTCCAGGATATATAAAAAACTCAAAAACACCAAAAAAAACAAAAACCAAATAACCCAATCTATAAGTGGGCTAAGGAACTGAACAGACACTTCACAGAAGAAAAAAATCCAAATGGTTAACAAATTATGAAAAAATGTTCAACATCTCTAGCAATTAGAGAAATGCAAATCAAAACTACTCTGATTTCATCTCACTCCAGTCAGAATGGCAATTATCAAAAATATAAGCAACAATAAGTATTGGTGAGGATGTGGGGAAAAAGGTACACTCATACATTGCTGGTGGGACTGCAAATTGGTGCAACCAATCTGGAAAGCAGTACGGAGATTCCCCAGAAAACTTGAAATGGAACCACCATTTAACCCAGTTATCCCACACCTCAGTATATACCCAAAGGACTTAAAATCAGCATACTATAATGATGCAGCCACATCAACATTTATAGCAGCTCAATTCACAATAGCTAAGCTATTGAACTAATCTAGTGCCCTTCAACATCTGAATGGATAAAGAAAATGTGGTATATATACTCAATGGAATATTACTCAGCAATAAAGAAAAATGAAATGACGGTATTTTCAGGTTAATGGTTGGAACTGGAGAATATCATGCTAAGTGAAATAAGCCAGTCCTCAAAGCCTAACAGCCAAATGTTTCCTCTGATATGAGGATGCTGATCCATAATGGTGTGTATGTGTGTGGTGGGGGAGCTAGGGAAGAATGAAGGAACTTTGGACTGGGCAGAAGGGAGTGAATGGAGGGTATAGGGGTAGTGGAATGAGAYGGGCATTATTATTCCATGTGCATGTGTGATTGTACGAATGGTGTGACTCTGCATTGTGTATAGCCAGAGGAATGAGAAGGTGTGCTCCATTTGTGTACGAYGTGTCAGAATGCATTGTGTTGTCATGYATAACTAATCAGAACAAATTTAAAAAATAAATTAAAAAAAGARCAATTGAAGAATTCCTGCCACACTAAAGGTGGGAAAAGTCATGTTAAAGTAGCCCTATAATATGATTTTCATAGTTCAATTAGAGATGCTAATCTGTTTATCATCTAGCTATGATATTTTAGTTTAAAAAGCAAGGAAGGAAAGAATATGTAGAATTATATTATTTAAATAAATAAAATATTTCAAAACATATTTATACATGCAAAGAAATGTTCTCAAATCTATACATTGATGTTTACAAGAAACATTTAAAATTCAGAATAGAAACATTTAAAATTCAGAATAAAAACATGAAGATATGAACCTTTTGAAAAATACATTGTTACTTTCAAAGGCATTTTTGTCTTATGAAAGGTATAAAAATGATGATAATAAACCTTAGCATTAAAAAATAGATCATTAGTAACATAAAAATCAAGCAAATACTTATTTGTTCTTACTTCTTTCCTCATTGCCTTTTCCCAAAGTAGAATTGTTTCCAACATCCGTGGTATCTAGAAAGTGAAGATGGGGGTCAGAGAACTGTGGTTTATAAATGAAAGTTAAAAATATATGACAATTCAGTGTGTGGAAGACTAAAGATCATACTGATGTGATGGGCTTCATTTCTCTATCTTCATTCTAAGGGAATGGACTGGTAGGGAAGATGTAAGGCCTTCCTTTAGTTCCCTGACACTCGGAGAAAGCTCTTGATCACTCTGTGTGCCTGTTTAAGGAAACGGGGATCCATGAAACAGGGATAGCAAGGGTCATCCTGCTCAAATTCTAAGTTTTTTTATGAAGATTAGATGATCTCATTGGTGAGTTAATAGAAAATCACTATATAAATCAATAACATGTTGGAAGACAACCATTGGAACTATGTATTTTTAGTTTAAGAATAGTTATGTGAGGCCTTTTTCCTAACAGGTAACAGGGCCATTTGTCCTTTTAGGCTTTCCCAAGGCTGTGGCAAAGCTATCCTACCATCTCTCAGATCTACCAGCAGAAGCACATTGTTTCCTTGGTTCTACAGGTAAGGGTGGAAGCCACATAAATCGGATGCTTCAGTATTGATAATAAACAGGACACTGCTGTTTGTTTTACACSAACCACATGTAACCAACAGAGCTCATCCTGTTAAACACGTGTATCTAACGCTCTCTTGCCTTTCTGCAGTTCCCAAAGGGTCAGGTCATGCAGGTGTAGAGAACAGGATTCTGGCATGGCTGGGCCTGTTCCTTGTCACTGTGTACTCAGTAAGTGCTGCAGAAAATGGAAACTCTTATTCTGGATTCCTGCAGCCTGGGGCCTGGGGCCCACCTCCTGTCCGTGAGCTAGAGTCTTCCCAATGTTCTCCTTGAACTTGATCACCTTGTTCACCCTGGATCCCATGATTTCTGTCTCTCTTCCGCTTCATGTGGCCCCACCGCCATTTTTCTCTCACCTYTTACAGCTTCCTCTCCTGACTCAGTCCTGCCCAGCAGCTGTGGTGTTTCTGAGCCACCTCCACCCCGATGCCCTTGAGCAGACTTGCCTGTTGGGTGAGACGCTCGGCCACTTTCCACCGTTGCTTCCTGGCCTCCTGGCACACCTTTTGGGGAACACAGGACACAGGAGCACTTCTCATTTCCAGTCTCTTGTTGCCCTGCTCCTAAATCATGATTAGTAAAGTAATTTTCATCCATGTTCCTTCCCCTGACCAAGTTTTCTTTTCCCCTAACACTGGTGACTCCTCCTTCCCACTCCTACATCAAAGGATGGCTTTACCTTTGAAATCTCTCTTTTGTTATTCCTTAGTGCATAAAGGTGTGTATATGTGTGTGTATACATACATATGTATAATATATATATATATATATATGTGTGTAAAATACACCTCTCTTTTATAGCTGACCCCAAGAATTTCTTCTTGAAAGAAGAGATTAACCAATAGTGTGTTTTAGAGATAGAAAACACTGAAGGAGGAGAGTCTGGTTTTAGGGCAAACGATGATGTGTTCAGTTTTGGAAACGTTGAGTTTGGAGTGTGAAGGTCTTGACGTCCCAGGGAGGACTGSGGCCTTCAGAACCTTGGACAGAGGACGTTCTCAAACTCAGGTGGGAAGACGGGGCTGGCTAGAGAAACCAGAGGGTGGGTGGAACRCGAGTAATCAGGGCCACCTAGATCCCCGGGGACACCTTACCCTGAAGACTCACTGCTACTGTGAACCATGCCTTGTGTCGGGTTGCTTTTGTCTCATGTTCACCCTGGATCCCATGATTTCTGTCTCTCTTCTTCTTCATGCRGCCCCACCGCCTTTTTATCTAGATCTTTTAACTGTTTTTGCAATGTCACCCTTTGCCTATCTATATTTCCTTCTTCTAGGTTCGTTTTCATCTCACAGACACTACTTTCATCCTCATCAAATGCCAGTCCTTTGACACTGACCAATCACCCAGCCTATTCCCTTGCCAGTTGCACATGAGATCTCTACGTTGCAGGTCTTTCAATCAATCACCAACTTTTATTTCCACGTTTCTGGTTAGCTCCTGAGAAATATCTTGCAAGTCATCCCTTTTCTCCCCCAAACTCCCCAATCTGGGATCCTTGGATCCACATCCACTTAGAAGACCTTGAAACTTATTCAGTCTCTTTCCATCTGGTCACCAAGGTTCCCCTTTCCACTGTTTTCTCTTAACAGTTTTCATTCAGAGTCACCTCCCTTCATCCAAGAGCCAGCTCTTCTTTCTCCCTTGGTCCTCTCAGACCTGTGGAAAACACTGAGTCTGTGCACAAGTCTGTATTCGTATGTGCTCGTGTGTGTGTGTGTGTGTGTGTGTGTGTGTGTGYGTGCGCGCGTGCACATGTGTYTGGGAGGAAAAGAATGGCTCTCCCCGCCCCCGTGTAGGCAAGTAAACAAAGATAATTGATGATATCATAATTGGCTTCTCCAGTCAAGACTCTACCACTATTCATTTGAAGACCTGTGGATCCCCAAGACACTGAAGAGAAATAAGGAAATGATCGAGTACAAGTGTGACCAGGGAACGGACTTCAGTGTGGTCACAGGGAACCAGCATTCAAACGAGCTGAGAAAAAAATACACCCACCCCATGACTGCACTTCAGGTCCAACAGAGCTGCAGCCTCTYTTCTGTCTGGCCACACCTCGTTCTCCTCTTCCTTACTTCCTGCCCAAGGCCCTTCTGCTGTTCCTTCCTGTGAGCCTCTGTCTCTGATTTTGCTGGCCTCCCATGTTGCACTGTCTCTTCTCAGTGTTGCCCTGGATCTCTAGTCCTCTTTATTTTTCTATTAATCTTTTCTGGATGGTTCCTTCTAGTTGTTTTGTATACAAAATATYAGGCTCTATTCCTGTCCTTATTGTCTATCTGTGATTTTCACTTTTTACTCTCCATGGATATGTATGTATCTCAACCTACATATACACACATGTGAAAATGTGTGTATGCTAATGTGTAAATGAGTATGTGCATATACAGCACACATAATATACATATATACCATAGACCATATATTATAAAATATAATATGTATTTACATATTATATTTTTATTTGTTGTTGTTGTTAAATGTTTTCTTTCTTTCATCAGCTACTGACACATTTCCCTGTGAATATTACAAGTTCCTTATACTAACTTTTCAGATTCTGATCATGTAACACAGGTCTTTTTTTTCTGCCCATTACATGCAGTAGTCACTCACTGTAAGACAACACGGTTGCTAGTTCCTATTGTTACTTGAGTTTTTGACTCTTACACATTTTGTACATCTATTCTCTTGTCCCAAATGGGGATAGCAAGGGTTTACCTGTCCAAGTCTTAAGGCTTTTGTGATGATAAAAACAGATCTTGTTTGTCAAAGTACATGGAAATAATACAATATAATCCGATTCTATGGTGAAGGACATCTGTCAAAAACTATACTAAACTTTGAGAGTGATTGATCTGAAGCTTTTATTTCTGACTATAATTACACAGCAGGACCAGTTGTCTTCTTAGGCTTCTACAATTGCAAATGACAAATGACCAGTGTGGGGCTAGAAATCTAGAGACTTGGTGTGAGTAGGCATGACAGATACCACTGCTTTGCTATTTATTTCTCCTGCGACAGCAAAATATATTTACATACATTTAGTTGACAGGACTCATGCTGTTCCATGTGAGTTTGTAATGATTTCCTGCCTCCTTCCATTTTCTAAAGTATTGAAAAGAAGTTTCCAGGATAACTGGACGCAAGTCAGTCAAGTTGTTCAAAATAAAAGGCATCTGGACTCAGTGGCTTTTAGTGCAGAGTCCTGACATCCTGCAGGCCCAGGCGCGGCGTCTAATCTTCTTTACCTGATCCACTTCTCAGGGCTTCCCGRAGCTCCTCTCCATAACTCAGCTCTGAAGAGCTTTCACTGCTATGCCCTACAGAAAGGAAGGAAGTTCCGAGTCAGTCCTCGCCTGTGCCTTAGCATCCCATCCAATCTTTAAAAGGAGAACTGGCAAAGGGAAGCTTGAGTAAGAGGAAGGGATATTCCTGCCACCAGGCCACCCTTTGGCTCCCTCTGACCCTCTGGACAAGGTTGCTCCAGGAACCATCCCCAAGGCTGGGGCTGGGGCCAGCTTTGCCAGGGAAAGCAGCCCCTTCTGTCCCCATCTCTAACACTTCTGACCCTTTCCCCTTGTTTGCACAGATGTCAGCTTCCACCTGCGTTTCTTACTGGGGGCACTGGACACAACCTTTAAGAGACATCAGCACCTCCATCAGCTGGGCCCGTGATCCTGTGAGGCGGGTGAGCACTCCATCTGGGAACCCCCTGATCTCAGTGAGTGAGGAATGACCTTGTGCTGGTGCCATTGCACACTTGAGGCCTCTGTGTTATACCCATTAGTTTGACTCACTAATTATAGTAGTATCGTGTGAATCATCTAAAATCTCAAAAATTGTATTTTGATTTTAAAGGATATAAAAACCAAATGAGGCTTTTGTGGCAAGGAAAACTGTTTGTTACACCAAGAGTTTTTAATTGCTCTTACTTCTTTTCTGACTGTGTATCCTCCAAGTAGACATCCTCACAGAATCTAGAAAGAAAAGGAAAGCAAAACCAGTGACCAGTGCCTCTTGAAACAGGATCTGGACTACAAAGATGCTATAATGATTATTTCTGTCTCTCTAAAGAGGAGAGTTCCCTACCAAATGGGGCAGAGACACACATCTTTTAGCTCTAACTGCAAAATCAAAGAGTTTAGAAAGTGATAATTTTTTCCCCATAGGTTTGCAGCTAAATAATTTATCAATGAATCTGGGCTCCCTGGACTGCCTAATCATGCTGTGGTGTGTGCTCAGGAATAGGGGGTCTGCATTGTGCCCTGGATGTCTTGGAGCCCAAGTGGCAGAACTTGCCCTTGACATCAAGCTCACCTGTTGGTGTTGAGATCCGGAGCGCTGAGGGTATCTCCTCCTCACTGGATTCTGAAGAGCCATAGTCATGTCCTCTCGCTGCAGAAAGGAGCAAATATCCCTTGGAGGTCTTAGTGTATGACAAGGGAACCAAGACAGAGGAATTCTATAGAGAGGACACTAGGAACAACTTGGAGAGCTGTGAAATTCCAGGGCAAGAATATTCTTCCCCTCAGACTTCCCTGATCTGCCTTTCAAATTCATGTGACTCACCGTCACCTAGCCTGACGCTAAGAAAATTTCACCCTCACTGGGCATCTTGCTTTGCCTTGGCCCCTGTCTTCCTCCACTGCATTCTCTTTCTTCTTTTACTTGTCCTTTATGGATTTATTGTTGGCTTTATGTCTGTATCTGTATTGATCCTAGCTTTGCTTATCTTTCAGAACAATCATGGAAGTCTGATATTGAAGAAGGGGAATCTTCTATTTGGCTATTTCTCTGACAACCACCAAGAATAGGATCATGCCTCTCTCCCCTCTAAAACTTTATAAACTTGAGACAAATGACAGTATTAATGAAAAGAAGAACACTTTCTTACTATATCCTATAAAATAAAAAGGGTGGGTGGAGAATAGTACATTATTTCAACTCTTTATCAGAAATAGGTGTAATGATATGCAGTCAAAAAGACTCATTGTATACATTTTTGCAATGTTTTCATTGTAGCAGTCAATTAAGTTTTTTTCAGTTAAACAACAGCCTAAAATGCTTTCTTAACACCTTCAATTTCCCATTAGGACCAGATTGCAGAAAGAGATAYCCTAGAAGCTACAGAATCAGGGCATATGAAGAATGCTCAGAATAAAATTAATCAGGAAAACAGTTGTGGACTCTGCCATTCTGTAGTCCTGGAGCTGCCATCTAATTTTACCTGGAGCAGCCTGGTGCCATGAGCAAGTGGCTTCTTGGGCCTCTTCTTCATCTCTCAAGTCAAACCGGACATGGTTTTTGATCACTGCACAAAAGGACAGAATTCTTTAGGAGCCTCTGTTGTGACCAAGGAATCAACTCAGTAGAAAATTCCCTAATAAGAAAGGTAAGGCCACAGTGATCTGCTTTTCTGATTACCTGCCATGTAGGTTAGTGACTCGCCATACTTATCCCCGGTGACACAAACACTTCCCTGCAAGGGACGTCTTTGCGTGGCTTGGCCTTTCTTCCTACACCTCTCCCTTTTACTTTTCCCCTCTGATGGCCATTCCGTGTTTCCATCTTCTCTGCCTGATCTCCGTGGAGGGAGGCCTTGAATATCCTCACTTACGTTGAGGATGACAAGGCTCCTTGTCCCCYACGCCCCATTTACAAGATCGAGAAATAATACTCTCTTGGGTGTGAGTCCTAGACATATCTGGGAACTACTTTTTGGAGCAGTTTGTTCACACCAGGATAAGAGTCAGAGATGTACAGTCTGCTGAAGCAAATTCACATTTTTCTTTAGAAGCTATTGGGAGCAATTGGAAAGAACATATGATTTAAAATATTGCTCTTTTGTGACCTCAAGACCAGGTAAAATTTTAATTTGCTCTTTTTCCAGTATGGTTTCCCTAAAGAGGCATGTTTCCAAAATACTCTGGATCTAGAAAATTTAAAAGGAAAACAAATCACCAATTTGTGTGCTACAGAGTTGTTTKTTTTTTTKTTTGTTTGTTTGTTTGTTTTTGTACTGAGGATTGAACCCAGGGTACTGAGCTACATCCTCAGCTCTTTTTAAAATTTTTATTTTGAGATAGGGCCTCACTAAGTTGCAGAGGCTGGCTTCAAACTCGTGACCTTCCCACGAGTCTCCCAAACAGTTGGCACTACAGGTGTGCAATACTATACTTGGCCATTACAGAGTTGTACATCTTAAAACTCATACCTCAGGTATGACTGAGATAATACAACATCTTGATAATCATATTAATCTTGCATTTTATAAGGACATATTTATTTATAAGGACATAACTCCAAATCCAGGATCCTAGTCTTCTCTCTCCTTTAATTCCCCATGAGACTCTGGAGAAGAACTTAGCACATTTCTAGGATTGTGTTGTTTCTTCTGAGAAACAAAGATGACAGTGCCTATCCTGCTTACCCTTTAAGGTTGTTGTAGAGAAAAAAATAGTATATTATTTGAAAAGTTCTATTTAAAAATCATTAAAAATGCCATGGCTTGCTGCAGAATTTTGTCAAAAACAACACTTTGGGTTTCACAATACATTATTTCAAGTCTTTATTTCTGCTAACATTAGAGAGTTGAATGAATTGTATTTTGTTTGTGGTCAGATGACAATATAAACTTTTAATAAAGGAATATTTAATGGCAGCATAAACTTCTAATAAAGGAATATTTAGCTTTCTGTTCTGTRTAGAAATCACTGGATAAGTCTAAAACTTTGTGTTCATAGCAATTAGTTTCTAAATCGTTACTTTGATAGCCTATTTCTACTATATAATCAATGCATAAATTTATATTGATAAATAGAATCCATCTATTCACAATTTCAATCATCAAAAATAAATACATGATGATTTCTGGGTCCACACATTTCCCCAAAGGGTCAAATCAATGCAGACTTGGGAGTCTCAGGATAACCTGGAGCCATCATATAGAATAGGTTCAGAATAAAGGACATCAGAGAACAGTAGCTCCAATTCCTGCAGCCCAGCCCACTGTCCCAGCCTGCTGTCCTAGCCCACTGTCCCAGCCTGCTCTCCCAGCCCGCTCTCCCAGCCCGCTCTCCCAGCCCGCTCTCCCAGCCCTCTGTTCCAGCCTGCTGTCCCAGCCTTCCTTACCAGGATGGCTCCTCTGTGCTGAGTTGGAGATTGCTACAGGCTCTTCTGTGTCGCTGGGGTCGTCCGAGTCCTCACTGCTGATGACTGCACAAAGGACCAAAATCCCTTCAGAGTCTCAGGGAGCCCAGCAGGAGCCCACACAGCCAGGCGCCCCACAACAAGAGCACGAGGAAGACCTGGGAACTAGGGGCTCTGTGCATGTGTGTGGCTTGGGGGTTATTCCAGGGCTAACCCAAACGACAAAACCGACACCTGAGGCAGYTTTTCCCAGCCCAGGACCCTCTGACCTCCACCTCTGCTCCACCTCTTCCCTTTCCTCTGGGCTCTGGCCACCACCCCGGCTTCTGCYTCTGTTTCTGGCAATGGCTCCTCTTTGTAACTCTTTGTCTTGATCTTTTCTTTCTCCATCTCCTCTTGAGAATATCCTGGTTCCCCATTTCCCCCTCGTCTTTAGCTCCTACTGCTTTCCTTTTCCTCCTTCTTCAGGGAGGGAGAGCCTCTGCCCTCGGCACTGCCCACAGCTCCATGTCTCTGCTGCCTCCCCAGCTATTGCCTGGGCAGTGCCCGGCTCCCCAGACTAGCTGCCCACTTGAAGTCCCTCCAACATGGCAGACACTGACAACAAAGAACACTCTGAACKTGATCAAGATGTGGATGATGTTGAAGAAGCAGAAGAAACTGGAGAAGAAACAAAACTCAAAGTGCACCAGCTGACTTGGTTCAGATGATACGAAATCCTCAGATTCTTGCAGCTCTTCAAGAAAGACTCGAGGGTCGGGTAGAAACACCCACGGGGTACACTGAAAGGTGGCCTAGGGGGGTTAAGAGAGGAGTGAATCCTCCCGGACCCTCAAGTTAAATGTGCGCAGATGGAAGCCAAATTCCACGAGGAAGTTCATGATCTTGAAGGGAAGATGCTGTTCTCTGTCAGCCTCTATTTGCTAAGTGATTTGAGATCATGAATGGAATTTATGAACCTCCAGAAGAAGAATGGGAATGGAAACCAGAGGAAGAAGAGGAAATTTCAGAGGAGCTGAAAGAAAAGGCCAAGAGAGACGACGAGAAAAAAGATGAAGAAAAAGAAGACCCCAAAGGAATTCCTGAATTTTGTTTGACTGTTTTTTTAAGAATGCTGACTTGCTCAGTGACCTGGTTCAGGCAGCTGATGTACCTATTCTGAAACACTTGAAAGACATTAAAGTGAAGTTCTCAGAGGCCGGCCAGCCTATGAGTTTTATCTTAGAATTTCACTTTGAACCCAATGAATATTTCACAAGTGTTCACAAAGACATCTAGGATGAGGCCAGAGTCAGACAATTCTGATCCCTTTTCTTTTGAAGGTCCAGAAGTTATGGGTTGTACAGGGTTCTAGATAGATGGGAATGAAAAGGAAAGAATGTCACTTTGAAAACTATTAAGAAGCAGAAACATAAGGACATGGGACAGTTCGTAGTGTGACTCAAATAGTGATTCTTTCTTTACTTTTTTTGCCCCTCCTGAAGTTCCTGACAGTGGAGAGCTGGATGATGATGTCGAAGCTATTCTTGCTGCAGACTTTGAAACTGGTCACTTTTTATGTGAGAGTATAATCCCAAGATCAGTGTTCTGCTTCACTGGAGAAGCTATTGAAGAAGAAGGAGGAGGAGGAGGAGAAGGTGAAGAAGCAGATGAGAATTATCAGCTCTCTGAAGAAGTCAAATGCTGCAGTAAGCTTTTTCAACGTTGGCTGCAGTAAATCTTTTTGATAAAAGCTGTCTGGATGTCTCGGATTGTGTTGGGAAATTTTTCTTAATAAAAGTGTTCAAATTAAGTTGTAGTATCACCAAACTCTCTAATCRTGAAAATCTGTTGACCCATAGAGTAACTTGTATTAAATTTTCCCTACATTATGAGCCAATTTTTCCTACCATGAACCTACTTCATGGATGCATATTGAAATTTAATATAGGGAAGGGAAGAGGAAGGAAATGAAGAAAATGATCCAGACTATGACTTGAAGGATCAAAACCCAGCAGAATTCAAGCAACAGTGAGGCAGGATGTACGTGGCCTTGAGGATTTTGTATTTTCTTGGTAGACTCAGTAATTTTTTTTTTTAAAGAAAGGAATTGAAATTTTCAAGACAGATTTGTTCTCCCTAGCATTTTAACTATAGCTTTTCTGTTGAATGCACAAATTCTCTCATGCATGTTCATTCATTGCTGCAGTTTGGTTCTTCTGGAATATTTGTATCATGTAGCTATTGGAGTACAACTATAAAAATTAACAACTGTTAAACTGAACTGATGTTTTTTATACCTTTATTTTACTTATTTTTTTATGTAGTGTTGAGGATCGAACCCAGTGTCTCACACATGTTAGGCGAGTGCTCTACCACTGAGCCACGACCCCAGCCCCCAAACTAAATGTTTTTGTTTGCTAATTTTTTTTTGAGGAACAAAAGTAGTTTTCAATTGGTAGTAGAGTGAGTTTAAGTCTGCTTGCATAGTTGTGCTTTCCACTTATTTGTTATAGAAATGCAGTGATTTTTTTACTAAYATAACTCATCATTTGAGGGGAAAAAAACTCCATAACTAACATGGTTAAGAATTTGCAGTCAGACCAAACCCGATAAATGTTAGTATTAATGGGATATAGTGAATTATAAGGAAGTCTGACTCATAATATGGTTATTGGTTACCACAGTGAGGTGAATAAAACAATTTTCAGAAGGTTATTAACCTGATAAAGTGTACTTGTAATTTTAACTTCCATTAACTAAGCATCTTTTCTTTGTGGTAGGATCTACCTTCTGCTTTCCTGGAAAGGATGAATTTACATCATTTGACGAGCCTATTTCAAGTTTTTGTGGTTTGTTTGCTTGGTTTTTATTTTTGCAGTTTAAAATAAAAATGTCAAATGCCATTTTAGTTCTCAAAAAGAAAAGAAAAGAAAAAGAAAAAGAAACAATCCCTCTGACATCAGTTCTCATTATTACCACCATTTCTGCCAGTATTTTCCCAGACCCTAAGGACCTCTGTTAAGCTAACTTGCTCCAGCTTACCCAGGCGCTGGCCTGCTCCAGAGGCCACCCGGACTGCCTGGTGGACCTTCATGACGTGCGGAGCCCTTTACCTGGGAACCTGTTCCCTGGAAACAGTCACGGATCCTTTCGGTCAGCCTTACCTATTACTTCGGATGGCTGGTAATGGTTGGTCCTGGTTTGGGATCCTGGCTTCACTTGCGTGGGAAAAAATGGCTTTTCCTTCTTTATATCCACCAGACGCACAGAACAGGAAGTCATGTGGATTCCATGGCTGGACAGCTCTGCTCCTGGGCCAAATTGTAATGAATAAAGAATTTTCCTTCTCCTCCCCCATTGAGAACAATGCCATTGATAACAAACTCTTTCTGAAACTGCATTGTTGAGATGCCCGTCCTCTATTTCCTGCTGCTTAGTTCTGTCCCTCCCTTTGTACCTCTCTTGATGGTGTTTTGTTTTTAACCTATTCCCCCCCCCTTTTTTTTTTGGTAAGTAACAATTTTTTTGCCTTTTTAAAAAATAAAAATTATAATTGCAGTACATATAAAAGTGGGTTTTGAATGATTACGAAGTATGTCTCTTTGGACAAGACACAGATTGCCAACACCCCAGAAGCCTCTTAGGACATCTCCCACTAATTGCCCCCACCATCTTTCTCAAAGTCAACAGCCTTCCTGATTTCCAATACTCCCATTAGTTTTGCCTCTTAAGTAATTTAATTTTATATAAACAGAATCATGCTCTTCTTACTCACTCTCTCATATATATCCCTGAAGAAGCCAAATAGCCCCAAATTCATCTATATATGTGTATGTGTRCGCATATTTATATATATACATGTTTGTGAGAATCATCCATATTCATTTTTGTATAATTATATTTATTATATAATTTTGTATAATTATTCTTGTTGCACATGGTATCGTATTCCATCATAGAAACAAACTGACATGTGTTTCTCCTTTTGTGCTATTTCAAGTGTCTGGCTTTATGAATACTGCTGTGGACATTGTCTTCTGATGAACACAGTATACATTTCTGGTAGTTTCTGCTGAGAAATGCAGTTCTGAATTCTAGAGTGCATATTTCCAACTTTAACAGATGACACCAAATTGTTTTCTAAAAGCACATGTAAAGGCAGATATATAAGAGAAAGAACTTGGCAAATTCAAGTAACTGAAGAAAGTTTGGTGAGCGAGGCATTAGAGGGTTAGAGGCAGGTGATGGGGGTAGGCAGCACACAGGCCTCTTTCAGGATGTGTCACACCAGGCAGCACTGACCTAATTCAGGACCACAGGAAGGCACTGGGTTCTAAAGAGGAGAGCCATGGGAACTGGTTTGCATTTTTGAAAGCTCCATTTTTAGTGTAAGTTCGGACAATGCATTTGAGGGGAGCAAGGTTGTAGAGACAAAACCAAACCAAACCCAAACCAAAACAAACCAAACCAAAACCAAACCAAACCAAACCCAAACCCAAAACCAAACCAAACCAAACCAAACCCAAACCAAACCCAAACCCAAACCAAACCCAAACCCAAACCAAACCAAACCAAACCAAACCAAAACAAAACAAACCCAAACCAAACCAACCCAAACCAAACCCAACCAAACCCAAACCAAACCCAAACCCAAACCCAAACCCAAACCCAAAACAAACCCAAACCCAAACCCAAAACAAAGCAAACAAAGCAAAAACACTGTTCCTCCCGTTCTGAGAGCCAGAGGGATCCAGATCAGGATGATCATGCTGAGGATGCAGAGAAAAGGAACCGTTGGAGACATTTTAAAATCAGAATTGAAGGAAGTGGTAAATACAGTGATGGTTGCTTTACACCAGTAAGTCTGGGGTGGTTTGTACATTACACTGCCATAGATAATGGTGGCAACCTCAAAAATAGAAAAATCCTTCAGATCTTTGAAGATTTTCAGACACTTTGAAAAATGAGACAAACAACAGGTCTGGGTGGGAAATGTGTGTTTAGGAATCAAGAGAATCTACATGGTGACTGAGCCTTGGAGAAGCAGGATGCCCGAGGGAAGGAGAAAAACGGGACAGTTTGGTAAAGGACACCTCACCCTTCTCAGGGTTGACGACTTGTGCCTTTTACCCTCAGATCAAACAGTGTCTTGATTTGTCCTCTGTCCCTTGTTGGACACAGCCCCTCTCTAGTAGTTTTTCACCCACTGCGTTTTAACTCGTTTTCTACACGACTTTTCATGTCCCACCCCCATATTTTTGTCCTATTTCTTGATACTTCTCGATCCTTTGTATCTTTCTACTCTTATTCTCTATGTTTTTTTCTTTAAAAAATAAGAAACACACACACACACACACACACACACACACACACACACACACCAGGACTAGGTGAGGCAGAGGTGGTACTGTGGACTCGAGAGAAGGAACCCTGAGGCCCAGATGCTCAGAGGGAGATCTCCTTATGCTCTGTGCCTGGGGTTCCCCCTGCTGTACCTGGCCTCAGCCCTGCTGTCCMCTACCTGATGCTTTAGCTGATCCATCTATTACGTTTTTACCTGCTCCTGCTTTTTAAATTTAATTATCAGTGTGACTCCTAACTCTTGTATGTCACTTTTTGTCTTTCTATACTATCTCACTTCAACCCCTCCAGTCCTCACCAAAGTCTCCCCAGTGCCACGCCCACTGCCCCGGAGGTCTTCCACCTGTGGTTTCCTCCTRAGGGCCTTCCCCTGGGCTTCCTTCCTTGCAAATATTATAGGAAACGTTATGCATGATTTCCACGCTTCCATTTAACCTTTGAAATAAGTTGCAACGTATTTGTTTTAATCGACCATGTGACATGGAAATGTTTGGATTCCATGTCAATTTATCTAAAATCTGCCTCATTCATGTACTGTGTTATTTACTGATCTTTAGTTGACCTTTCCCATACGTTCGCTCCTTGTTTTCTCTACCCAAGGACACACACCACCTCCATGAAAGAGCACAGACAGCCTCTCTCCCTTGCCTTTCACAGCTCTTGAAAACCACCAGAGGGTGTGCACAAAGGCCACGTCTGAGCGGGGCAGGCAGTTAGTGGGACCACAAAGCAGAATTGTTGCTCTCACAGAAAAGTGAAGACATAATTAGAAAATTGGGGAGGGGCAGAGCAAGTTGGTGGAATAGGACTCTCCATTGTACATCCCCCCACAGAAACACCAATCTGAACAACTGTGTGTGCGAAAAAACCTTCACAAGAGCGGTGGGAACCAGGTGAGAGATCACRGCATCTAGGTGAGGCAAAAAAATTAAGAACCAGACTTTGTCTTATATTCCAACACTGGGTCTTCCCCAGCAAAACTCAGTGCTGAGCAGGCCCAGATGACTGCAGATTCCAGCCCATTCCTGTGGTCTGAGCCTTCAAGCCTGCCCAACCCCAGGCTGAGTCCCACAGTCCCAGGATCATGACCAGTCCTATGAATTTGGTCCCAGGTGACTCAATACCRGGTCAGCCTCAGCAGTCCCACACTTCAGACCAGGTCCATTCCAGATCAGCCCCAGGRCATCAAGCCAAAGGCCCACCCTAGCACCTGGACAGCCCAGTGGTACCAGGCTTCTGGCTTCCACCCTAGTCCCCCAAGAGCTCTGCAATCTCTGAGTCAAGGTCCACCCTGGCACAGGATGACCCACTCGCTGTCCTAGGCACTGGGCCAGCAAGCCTGTCCTTGGACCACACCAGATGGCCTGCCACAGATCTCTGGGTCAGCAGACTGGCAAAGGCTTTCTAGGACAATACCAGTTTTCGGGGACTGGAACAAGCCCCCACTTCCTCAAATGTACAGACATTTGAGGTAATAAGAAACTGGAAAAATCAGGACATCAGAATACTGACAAAGGAACACCACAGTGTCCCAGTAGCAAGCCCCAGAGAAATGGATACATGAGCCACCTGAGAAAATATTCAAAATAATTGTTTTAGGAGAGCTCAGTGAACTTCAAGAACATACAGAAAAACAACTCAGTGAAATCAGGAAGACAATAATTGACCAAAGTGAGAATTTTAACAGAGGTTGAAATTATAATACAAAACAAAACAAAAATGATAGAAAAACAACTAAAACAGAAATTCTGATGCTGAAAATATAATGAATTGAGGGGCTTGGGTTGTGGCTCAGAGGTAGAGCGCTTGCCTATCATGCATGAGGCACTGGGTTTGATACTCAGCACCACATAAAAAGATAAAATAAAGATAATATGTCCTCTTATAACTAAAAAATAAATAAAAAAAGAAAATACAATGAATGCAATGAAAAAATGCAACTGAAAGTCAACAGCAGAATTGATCAAGCCAAAGAAATAATCTGTGAATTTGAAAACAGGTTACTTGACAACACATAGGCAGAGGAGAAAAATTAAAAGGAGKGAGGAAAACTTACAGCTTTTTGAGACATTTCAAAAGAGTAAATTTTAGAGTCATAGTGGTCTGTAGAGGAGCAGAGAAAAACAAAGGGGTAGAAATCTTATTTGAAGAAATAATAGCAGAATATRTTCCCAATTTTGGAAAAGATACAAATTTCCAGGTATAGGAAAGTCAAAGGACTCCAATCAGACTCAATCCAAACAAAACTACACCAAGACACACCATAACAAATAAGGAAACCAAATTCATGATCAAAATGGAAGTTATACCATTGTTGTAAATAAAGGCCACACAGGACAAACACAGCAAGCATCAGACAGTGAAAAGTTGAAAGGTTTCCTTTTAAGATCAGGAACAAGAAAAGAATGCCCACGTGTACCACGTCTACCCAACACAGATTTACAAATGGCCAGTAAGTGTACGCAAAGGTGAATATCACAGTTCATCAAGGAATTACAAATAAAACCACAATGAAATATCAACTCATACCTGTCAGAATGGTTATTATCAAAAAGACAAAAGATAGCGAGTGTTGGTGTGAAAGGAGAGAGAAGGGAATCTTTGCACATTGTTGCYGGGAATGTAAATTAGTATACCTTATGGGAAACAGAATGGAGGTTCCACAAAAAATTCAAGTAGAGCTACCATACCATCCGACAATCTCCCCACTGGGTAYATATCCAAAGGAATTAAAATCAGTGTGTCAAAGAGATATCTAAACTCCCACGCTTATTACACAGCATTATTGACAAATCCCAAGATATGAAATCAACCTAAATACCTAACAACAGACCATGAAAATGGAAGATATATGCAAAATACCAGCCTTAGAAAAGAAGAAAAAAATCCTGTCATTCACAACAACATGAGTGAACCAGGAAAGTAGTATGTTAAGTGAAATAAGCCAGACACAGAAAAAGTCCCACGGCATGATCTCACTTATATGTGGAGTGTGAAAGTATTAGTCATGATCATAGAAGCAGAGGGGGTAATGGTATCTATCAGCAGCTGCTGGGAGAGAGGAAGGGGTTAGAGGAGATGTGGGATATAAGATTTCTATTAGGAGGAATAAGTTCAAGAGATCTACTGTATAACATGATGACTATAGTTGATAATAGTATTGTATTCTTAAAATTGCTGAGGTCATGGATTTTAAGTGTTCTCACCATAAAAATTATAAATACGTAAAATAAAACATGTCAGTTTTAGCTCAATTAGTCATTTCTATCTATGATTGTATCTAATATGTATATGTTTTCATCATATTGTACATAATACCTATAAATCATACAAAATATATATTATTACACATTGTACATAATAAATATATATAAATATAAACATATKATRTAAATCAGCTTTAAAATGATTCAGGTGGTTAAAAAGKCAACTGATAACCCCACAAACATGGAGGATCTGGGGAAAAACAACAGGGTAAGGTAAGTGACACTTACTTTCTACACAGTGGGGCAACGGGCTGGGCATCCCCACGCTCGCCTCTCCATGGTCCACGTGGGCAGCCATGTGTTGATGGGACTCTGAAGTTTAAAAAAGACCATGATTGAGACCCAGTAGAACCTCGCTGTGCTCTGTGTGCATTTTGTTCTGTTTCACTCTGTCTCTCCTTCCTTCCCACATTTCTCTCTGTAGCCCTGTTTGCATGTATTGCCACCTTTAGTTGTGAAGGTGCCTGTGCTTCACTGATTCTGTAGCCAATCCCTCTCTGACTTCTTTTGCCTTTTTAAAAATATATATATTTATTTTTTAGTTGCAGYTGGATGCAATACCTTTATTTTATTTATTTATTTTATGTGGTGCTGAGGATTGAACTCAGGGCCTTGCACGTGCTAGGCGAGCACTCTACTGCTGAGCCCCAACCCCAGCCCTTCTTTTGCCTTTTATTTCTCTAGGGCCTCTTAGCACCCCCCCCCTCCACACACACACACACACACACAAAGGAAGTGAGTCAGCCTTACCTACTGGCTCTGACTCTCGAGGGCATTGCTCATTTCCTTGGTGGCTTCCTACTGCACCATTTGGGTCTCGGGCCTGCTCTCTTTTATTTACATTTCTCTCTTCTGCTTCGCAAGGATGCGCTGAGAGTTCATTTTCGGGTAGGTCTGTACCTAAACCACATTTTAATTCATAGATATTTTATTCGYCCCTTGCATCAATCAGGATCAAATAGGAAAATACAAATCACTGGAAGATCTTGAGGCAGAGAGAATTTAACCCAGTTGAGAGAAGAGCTGAACGCTCCAAAGGGAAGATGCAGCAAGCAGAAGCRTCAACAGGAGGCTGGAGGGGACYGAAGGKTGCCCACTCTAGGCTSGTGAGCAGAARCCGGGACCCAGGCTGGCCYGWGTGGTGGAAGGTGGAGAGAGCCGTGGGGAGGAGCAGCTACCAACTCAGTGGCTCCCCAGTGTCGTGGTGGGGCTACACTTCCTCCAACGGTGCAAACTTTTTCTAATGTCTCTCATGCTGGAATCAAGGAGAGTTGGCAATAAATAAATAAATAAATAAATAGCAGAGGTCAGAAGCTAGAGGTAGAGGGAAGAGTGGAGCAGGAGGGCAAAGAATGAATTCCAAGCACACCAACCCGGGGTGGGAACGCCTCCTCCCCCTGGTGAACTTCCCTGGCCCATGGCTGACTTCCACCACCCACACCATTCTGATTCCAGGAACCTCCATAGTCTGCGAGTGGACAAGTGTATTTTTTTGCAGTTGCATTTTTTTCCATTTAGTGCTCTTTTTCTAAACAAAGTGGGTTATGGAAAAATTATTTTAAAAGTTTTTACAGACGTTTTAATGTGGAACTTAGAGCAGGTGCATGTTTTGTGCCACCATCCAAAGCTCCTAGGAACTGCTTCTTCGTGTTGTGGGCGTGAGACCMGCCCTTTATCCCCCTGTGCATGCCACAGGCAGTGTCCTCCTGGCTCACTGTTGGACACACTCGTGGATGACTTATTGTGCTGTCTGGGCATCATTTGGGTTTCAGGTTGAAATTTCTCTTCGTATTCATCTGGTTCTCATCACTGAGGAGTTCTAAGATTCTAGCCCCAGGTAGGGTTGCCCCACGCCACAGGGAGATTCATGAAGAACTGACTTGTCTCTCCCACAAGCTCACTGCCCCTACCAAATCCCTTCTCTGCTGGTTATTAATCACCTTTCCATCCATTCATTCCTTCCTGCTTCCACTATCTGCACTGGTAGATGGACAATTAAGAACATGGCGCATGCATGTGGTATTTTTTTWAATAATTTTTTGAATAAAAGTAATTTCTAAAAGTATAATTATGCTTTTAAAAGTCACTCTGAAAGTATTCTGTAACAATGGATTTCTGATTTAAAAAATCTTTTCTTAAATAACATCCTCCTTGCTGGGCATTCCCTGGAGACTCGTTTCCAAAGAAGAGTCATGGAATAAAGACATAAAAGTYATTCTACACACATGAGTGTACTTTAGAGGTGGGGAGTCTCAATTTAATTTCCTGCTCTGAGGTTGGTCTTGCTTTGTTCATCATTTCTCCTGGTTGAGAAATAATTAGATCCACAACAGACCTYCATGTCAGACATATAGATAGAGAGTATATCAAAATTTACTGTCATGGTTGGCCAGGCACAGAGGTACACACCTGTAATCCCAGSAGCTTGGGAGGCTGAGGCAGGAGGATKGAGAGTTCAAAGACAGCCTCAGCAAYGGCGAGGTGCTAAGCAACTCATTGAGACCCTATGTCTAAATAAAATACAAGATAGAGCTGGGATGTGGCTGAGTGRTTGAGTGCCCCTGAGTTCAATCCCTGGCACTCCCTCCCCTCAAAAAAATTATTGTCATGATTAAAAGGTTAGACTCTGAAGGCAGGTGCWAATAGCAATGGTAATTAAATTAGTCATGATGACAAAGTCATGTAGCATAGATGAAGTTCCAGGCACRATTGTGAAAGCTTTCATTGGTACAACTTGTTTAGATACATCAACCCCGTAAGGTATATACTACTAAGTAATAAAAGGGGGGAGGTTCCTTGTCCAAGATTGCAGAGGCAGGATTCGAACCCAAGCAGCAGAGCACCAATATTCCTGCTCTGACCCTATTTTACAGCAGAGTTCAATCCCAATTCTTAGTTGGGTGAAGCTACACACAAAAAATCAAACTCTTTAAACCAACTCTTTCTCCTCTGAGAAAGAGGGTGATAAAACATCATTTTAAAGTATTTGAGAAGATAAATAAAATATTACCTGTATCAATATATGCCATATTGTAACTGATCAGAAAAAATAAAGTCATTATAATTACTGTCTTAAATGTATATTATTTTGAATAATTGGATGATATATTATTAAGAGCATTTTGGATTACAGGAAGGTCAAGAGTTGTTAAAGTACCAAATGGTTTTTCGAAGAGACCCACCTGGTGTCTGAGCCCCAGGGATGGTGAGCGAAGGTGTCCTRTGAGAGGCACCCTGGTGCTATGGTCTCATGTGTTGGACCCAAGAGGGATGACATTTTCCCCACAGAAAAAGCAGGCTCATGGCACCCCTCCAGCTGCACAACACGGGCCCCCACTGGACATGTGATCAAAGGCACCAGACAGATTTAAGCAAGGCAGGAAACTGAAGCCAGGGGCTTGGGACAAGTGCCCAGACCCAGAGCTGGTACCAGGACTGGCAGCAAGTGCATGCAAGGGGTAGGGAAGAAGAATCCCTCCTAGGCAACCCCGAGGGCCTTTAATTAAAGATCTCTGTTATTTAATTTCCAAACTTGGAGAAGCTACAGATGCAAAG